TAACAGTAACAGCAATGATAGCAATAACAGTGGGAACAGCAGCAGAAATAGCACTAACATTAGTGGTAATAGTGCAAGCAGCAGCACTTCAGTCCCTACTTTTTGTGAGGTCAGTACCAAATTTTATCTATCTGCCTATTTACCTACCTATGTACTTATCATACATTATCTGTGGTCTTTATTACTACACTAGAGGTCCAGTGCACAAAATTCATGCACGGGTAGGGTCCCTAGTGGCTGCTGGCCACCCGCTGAGGCTTTCTTTCATTCTGGGCCGCCCCCTGGTGGTCAGCACACATCATAGTGAGCAATCAAACTCCCGATCAGTCGAACTCCCAAGGGACCCTTTGCATATTAGGCTTTTATATATATACTAGAGGCCCAATGCACAAAATTCATGCAAGGGGCTCGGCCCATCGCAGCCCCAGCTGCCTCACGGCCCTGCCCACTGGTTATTCGGAAGGTCGTTCCACAGTCTGGTCTAATTAGCATATTAGCTCTTTATTATATAGGATATATATATATAGATACCTTTCACTGATAAGGAAGCCAAGGCTTGACAAGTTTAGGCAATTTACTTGAGGCTACCCAGCTGGTTAGATACAAAACCAGGATTTAAACCTAGGGTTGTCTTTACAGTGATTCAAACCCCTATCATCTCCCACCTAGATTAACACAATAGTCTCCTAGATGATCACCCTGATTCTACCCTTGGTCCCCTGAAGCTTATTTTCAAGATAGCAGCTACACTGATTGTTAAGACTATATTTAAGGATTTTTGTTTTTCATTGAGGTGTAAAACACTCATCTACTGAAAATCCACTAATGGCTTACTATTCCAGGATAAAAGCCAAATCCTTACAATGGCTTTTAAGGCCCTATACTACATGGTCCATATCACCCCTCAGGCCCTAAATTTTACTATTCTCTCTTCCAACCACCCCTCCCAACACACACTCTACTGTAGCATCATCAGTCTTGTTGCTATTCCTTGAGTCAGGCATGATCCTTCTTCAAAGCCCCCTTTTTTTCCCTTCCTCATCATTATGTTAGCTATAGATTTTTATTAGATGAGGTTAAGGAGGTTGCCTTCATATTCCTAGTTTGCCAAGGTTTTTTTTTGATTGACATTAGAGAGAGGGAGAGACATCAATTTGTTGTTCCACTTATTTATGAATTCATTAGTTCATTCTTGTACGTGCCTTGATCGGGAATCAAACCTGCAACCTTGGTGTATCGGGACAACTGAGCTACCGGGTCAGGACCTGCTAAGTATTTTTGGTACAAGATTCACATACCATAAAATTAAACATTCTTAGTGTTGGAATGGTGCACCTGAAACCTGTATCATTTTATTAACCTGTGTTACCCCAATAAATTCAATAAAATGAAAAAAACACACACCTTAAAATGAACAATTCACTGGCATTTCATACATTTACAATTTTGTGTAACCACCATCTCTACCTAGTTCCTAAACATTTTCATCCCTGGGAAAAGAAACCCTGCAACCCATTAAGCAGTCACTCCCCATTCCCTCCTCCCCCTGGCCCCTTGCAACCACCAGTCTGCTCTCTGTCTCTATAGATTTGCCTATTCAGAGATTACATATAAATGAAATTATATGATATGTAACCTTTTATTGTTTTTCCTTTTTATGGCTAAATAATACTTCATTGTATGGATATACTGCAATTTATTTATCTCTTCATCTGTTGATGACATTTGGGCTGTTTCCATGTTTGGGCTATTGTGAATAGTGTTGATATGAGCATGTATGTACAAATATCTGAGTCCCTGCTTTCAATTAAAAAAATTAAATTTATTTCAGAGAGGGAGAGGGAGAGATAGAAACATTAATGATGAGAGAGAATCACTGTTTGGCTGCCTCCTGCATGCTCCCTACTGGGGATCGAACCCACAACCCTGGCATGTGCCCTTGACCAGATCGAACTCGGGCCCCTTCAGTCTACAGGCCGACGCTCTATCCACTGAGCCAAACTGGCTAGGGGCCTGCTTTCAACTCCTTTGGATATGTACCTAGAAGCGGAATTGCTGGGTCATATGGTAATTCTATGTTTAATTTTTGAGGAACTGCCAAACTTTTTCACACAGTGGCTGGACCATTTTACATTCCCACCAGCAATGTATGAGGATTCCAATTTCCCCTTCAAGGCTTTTGCATTTGTTATTCTTTCTCTGGAAGGCTCTTCTGATAGATACCCAAGTAGCTCACTTCCTCACCTCCTTTAGATATTTACTCAATTGTTATCTTCTCATGGAGGTCTACCTGACCATCAAATTAAAAATGGCAGCCTCCCAACCCCCAACCTCTAACTCACCATCCTTCCCTACTTAATTTTTCTCCATGGTATTAATCATCATCTAACATACTATATAGTTTTCTATTGTTTGTCTTCCACAACTGAAATGTAAGCTCCCCGAGGGCAGAGTTTTTAGTCTATTTTCCAGCACCCAGAACAGTGTCAGGCACATAGTAAGTGCTCAATATTTGCTGAACAAATAAATGAGGCTCAAAGAAGTGTTTTGGCAAAGTGTGACAATAAAAGAGCAAGAAACTAAGTCTCTGTAGTTTGCAGGTTATATTTCTAATAATGGTGATGGATTGAAACTGAGTCAATCACATCTTTTACTCAGCTGTAACCAAAAAGCACACATGCACAGATGGCTATTTCTGAATCAGCTGAAACATGACTGTTAACACAGCCTGAAGGTAAAGGGATCAGACTGTCAAACCAAAACTCATTAGCACCAATTAAAACTCAACTAACCATTTGTAAATAAGTAAGCTTAGTACTGACCATCTAAAATGTTTTAAACAAGCAAAAAAAAAATGCTATAGGAAACAGAATTTTAAGAGTATTATACTTTAAGAAAATGAGAAATTCGCCATAAGAAATTGAGTCTTATGGAAGAACACAAAGCTGTACCTCTACCTAAAATATTGCTATAACAAGAATGTAATTTATATTTTTGAACTATGACAGAAGCAGAAAAAAAATATATAAAAAGAGAAGCTACGTTAAAACCACAAAGAAATTATTTCTGGCAAAAGCTTAAAACCTGGTATAGTTAATAATTAATGCTGTTGAACTGTTCACTTGAAAATGGTTAAAATGGCAAATTTTATCACACACACACACACACACACACACACACACACATATATAATTCTTTATTGTTAAGTGTATTACCTAAGTCTCCTTCCCCCCCCCCATTGACCTCTCCCCAGCCGTCCCCATCCCGCAGCACATGCCCTCCTCCCTTTTGTAAATTAAAAAAAAAAAAAGGTATAAAGATGGTGGATGAGCCTGGCCAGTATGGCTCAGTGGTTGAGTGTCAATCTATGAACCAGGAAGTCATGGTTTAATTCCCAGTCAGGGCATATACCCAGGTTGTGGGCTCGATCCCCAGTATGGGGAATGCAGGAAGCAGCTGATCAATGATTCTCTCTCATCATTGATATTTCTATCTCTCTCTCTTCCTTCCTCTCTGAAATCAATAACAATACATTAAAAAGAGAGAAAGATGGTGGATGAAAAACCATCCCAGAGACAGATATGGAAATAAACAGTAGAATATCACCAAGCCCACTACTAAGAAAGAATCTACTTTTGAAGATTTTGGAAAATCATTTACAGCAGAAATAAGTCTGGAAAATTAAAACTAGTAGATATAACTCTTTTTGAGTATGAATTGCAAAGATTAGACTATATTACAAGTGGTAATTAAACCTGGCTTCCAATAGTTTCTGTTATAGGCTGAATATTTGTGTCCCTCTTCCCTCATTCATACATTGAAACCTAACCCCCAATGTAATGGTATTTTGAGATGGGGCCTTTGGGAAGTGATTAGGTCAGGAGAGTTGAACCCTCATGAATAGGATTAGTGTCTTTATAAAATAGACCCAGAAAACTTTCTTGCTCCTTCTACCATGTGAGGACACAGCAAGATGATGACTGTCTATGAAGTAGGAAAGAGGTTCTCACTAGACACTAAATCTACCAGTCATGGACTTCCCAGCCTCCAGCACTGTGAGAAAAAAAAATTTCTATTGTTTACAAGCCACCCAGTCTATGGTATTCTGTTATAGAAACCCAAGTGGGCTAAGACAGTTCCTTTCTTTCTTTTCTTTTCTCTTTCTTTCTTTCTTTCTTTCTTTCTTTCTTTCTTTCTTTCTTTCTTTCTTTCTTTCTTTCTTTCTTTCTTTCTCTCTCTCTCTCTCTCTCTCTCTCTCTCTCTCTCTCTCTCTCTCTCTTTCTTTCTTTCTTTCTTCCCTCTCTCCCTCCCTCCTTCCCTCCCTCCCTCCCTCCCTCCCTTCCTTCTTTCTTTTTAAAGTTATTTCAGAGAGGAAGAGAGAGGGAGACAGAGATAGAAACATCAATGATGAGAGAATAATTGATGGGCTGCCTTCTGCTGCCACCCACTGGGGATCAAGCCTGCAACCCAGGCATGTGCCTTGACTGGGAATCGAACCATGATCTCCTGGTTCATAGGTCGATGCTCAACCACACCAACTGGGCTAAGACAGTTTCAAAGTATAGTTCAAGGATTCTGATGTTAAGAGGTGAAAAACCACTCGTGATTGAGTCAAACAACTTCAGAGCCCGCCAACCTTCATGGTTATTAAGATCACAAAGGAACTCCTGTCAGCCTTTAAAGTTCAAGAATAATAAAGTATAAATAGTGAGTTTTTAACTGTGCTGGAGGGAAAATGGTAACATGCACTCAGTAGATAAAGCCTTCAATCTGTAGGCTAAGTAATCAGGCTTCCATGTAAGAAGCAAAGCAATGCTCCTAGTTGTATGATAAAATCTACAGCTTTTATATGATATTTGTTAAAAAATAATTCCTGAGGCACTTTAACAATACAACTTTTATTAAAAAAATAAGTAATAACATCAAAACTGTTCAGAAAATCTATAATAAATGTAACCAAAATAAACAAACACCAACTTAAAAAAAATATACATCTATATATATATTTATATATGGGCAAGAAACAAGTGCGTTTTTTGGTCCCAATATTTTTGAATATATTATCTTTATCCAAAGGTATTACATTAATGGCTAAGAAGATAATATGTATTAGATGTATAGAAATGTAATTTTAAAACTTGTTTTAAGGTCTACAGAAAATGTTTTTCCAAATTTATTATGTCTTTGAACTCATAACTATAATAATGTTAATAATAGTCCTAAGATGGACAGAGGGTGTAATAACATCTAATGGTCTGAACAATTAGCAAATTAAGAAGCTACCAATAGGTAGCTACATGAAATCTATAGAGAATTCTAAGGAATTTCTGAACAAAATGAAACACCACAAACATTTTAAAGAAAAAAGATAAAAGTGGACATAACAAAAGACATAAAAAAATTTTATGAAGAACAACATAAAACCAAGATAAAATTAAATTTTTAAAACTATTAGTACTGTTGAAAACTCCTATGGTTAATACTGGATAAAACTTTAAAACGATAGTACAAATAACTGTACCTTTGGAAGTGTAATTTTAGAAAACTTTTTTCCAAGAGCATGAAAGTAGCCTTGGTTCCCTATACAACCAGTTTTGATATTCCTTGGACTGCATGCATACTAGAAGACTAAAGGGCAGCAGCCAAAATGATTAAACTCCAACTTAGGTGATAAAGCATTGATTTGATGGGCTTTTCTTGACCATAAGCTTAAGATCAGAACCAAAGCCCCAAATGGGAAGTTGTGCTCAAATTGGTGGGCCTTGAGGTCATCTCTGGCCAAATTAGCATCAGACAGTCATGAAGGAAGTGACTCTTCCCAATATCTGATTTCCTAAGGCCACAACCTACAGGAGGTCTCACAGTTAAACAATTCACATTCCTTGGAAAGAGAGAACAGGCATCAGTTGTGTCCAACGAAGGGGGACACTGACCAGGAGTACCCTGGACATTTTTTGAAATTTCTGTGTTGCTTCTGCATCTGAAAAATATGAAAAATAGAACAATGACAGACAAGGAACGAGAAGACAGCTATCTGACCTAAAAATGTAAGATTTATACAAAATTAACTAATAAGTCAGACAAAACAGACAAAAAAGATGAATAGCCATATCATTTGGAATGCAATATTCTGAAGGCAAGTACAGCAGAGAAAAACACAAATTATTTTAAAGCAAAGCAAAGAAAGACCATAGCAAACAAAAAGTTATTTTTGGAGAGAACCAACTGGAGAAAAAAAGAGCATGTTAAAATATGTTAACCTGACACAAAGATAAGGTGGAATAAGAATCTAGTGCCATCTGAAAGCTGAAAAGAGCTAAATAATGAGAGCTAGTGTCATGAACTTGGGTATTTAACCATTTTCGTGTGAGAAAACACTTCAGAACTTTGAACTTAGGAAACTGGCTCTGTGTAAGAAAACACTTCAGAACTTTGAACTTAGGAAATTCCAACTTGTCTTGCACCAGGTTGCACGAGCTCCATAGAGCAGGAATCTATTTCAACAAGCAGCTTTAAAAACAAAAACAAAAACAAAATACTTTAATATTTTTCATTTCTATTAATTATACATTAAAAATATGCAACAGTGCTAAAATCCATCAAAGAAAAATGCACTGAATAAAAAGAAACTTACTCAGAAGTGGATTCAGAAGTTGAGGTACTTTTGGGAACTGAAATTAGAAGAAGAGTTTTACATTTAAAATAGCATATATGATGAGTGAGACTATCAATTTAATAAAATTAAGACCCCATATTGTGACTGATAAAAAATACAGGAATATATATATCAGAAATTCAAAGTAATGCAATTATATATACATACCATTCTCTATTACAACTTGGCAAGTATGAGTTTTACGTTGACTTAAGTGTTTAGCCATACGATCTAAGCCAGAAGAATCAGTCAGAAAATCACATTTAAGGCACACTAGAGTAATGCCCCTATGGAAAAAAGAAGACAGAAAGAAAAGTTTTTTATCTTTTATGAAAATCCATATATAGGTTCAATAATTATTTTCCATGTAGTAACACTTGACTTTTTATGCATCATAACCATCACTTTTCAATTTTGTTACATAAGCCTGATATACCTGAAATGGTGCTTTAGAAAATGGCATAACCATGTCTAAGTTATGCTAACATTTAGTACTTTATAAACTGTTCCCTCTCATACCAGTTGCTAAAAGATAGGAGTCAAGAGACCTAAAGCCTAGTTGTGGCTCCACTGACAACTTGCATAATATATGCCAGGCACAATCTTTCTATACCGTTGCCTATATGCAAAGCAAGTATGTAATATTGATTCATTCAATATACATTTGCTGAGGACCTTCTTTTTACACTCTGTGGAGCCTACAATCTAAAATTTTAAGTGACAATAAAATCAGAGAAAAAAGAAATCATTAAAAATAATGTAATTATTGTTATCAGCTTATTAACAAAGCATAAGTATACTTTTATAGTTCATTTTAAATTTAGGTATTTCATCTGTATAGAAATAAAAACCAGTAGCATACCTTAGACTGACTTCTCCCCTGCAGTTCTAGTCTTAACAGTTTGTTGTGCATTTACATCTGGCTGTCACATCAAAAATGATCTTCCTAAAACTGAAGTCATCTGCTTTCCTCTCCACCCCTAAAAATCACTCCTCCTGAATGATCTCTCTTATGAGGTCATGTCCCCAAGACAAAGGTTTAAAATCGCAGTTATTTTTAACTATTTTTTTCCCTAAAACTGTCAATATTTCAAACATTTTTAATAGTAACAATTTATTGAGCACTTCCTGGAGCCAGGCTGAATGGTTTAGACATATCATATCACCTAAATAGTCTAGAAATCCAAAGAAGTAGTGTGCTATTAATTATAACTGATTTGTTATAGAGGACAAAGTCAGGTTTGGAAACTTAGCAAGGCCAGGGCCAGGTTTGAAACTCAGCCCTTTGATTCCAGAGCTCATGTTCTTAAACATGACGTAATATCACATTGTTGCCTTAACCCATGTTTTTATTAAATCAGTCTTAACTACCACAATAATCTTGAATAATCTATGTGCCTTATCCAGCTACAACTCACCTTTTATACCCCTCCAAACTGATATTTCATCAGTACTCTGATTCTGAATAAAACACCTATGGTTTCCCCAATGCCTTCAAATTAAAATTAAGTCCAATTTCCCTAACCTTTTTCAAGGATTCCATAATCTTGATCTAAAAACTATTCCCCCAGACTCTGATCTCAATACTACAGGGTGTCCCAAAAACATGTATACAGACTTTAACAGCTGATGGCTCAATTTTGAAAATGAAATGTATTTCAATAAACACTGCCTTTCCTTTATAATTATTCAAATTGTGTGTATACATTTTTGGGGCACTATCTATAAAATAAAAGGCTAAGCGACCGTTATGGTGGAATGACCAGTCACTATGATGCGCACTGACCACCAGGGGCAGACAAGCAACACAGGAGCTGCCCCCTGGTGGTCAGTGCACTCCCACAGGGGGAGTGGCCACTCAGTAAGAAGCCGGGCTTACAGCTGGCAAGCACAGTGGCAGTGGTGGGAGCCTCTCCCACCTCCACGGCAGCGCTAAGGAGCAGTGAATCAAGAGGTAAGGAGGAAGCAGATGGGCAGTAAGGAGCGAGGGATCCCGGTTTGTGAGAGGGACTGGGCCTAAGCCAGCAGTTGGACATCCCCCAAGGGATCCCAGACTGCCAGAAGGCACAGGCCGGGCTGAGAGACTCCGCCCCCCAGTGCACAAATTTCATGCACCAGGCCTCTAGTATTTATATGACTTTCATGCTCCACCCAAACTGTACTATGACTTCTCCTTTTTTCCTATCTGCTTTTTTATTCATGCTATTCCTTCCAACTAGAATGCCCTTATGCCTCTTTGTATAACTAGAAACCACTCTTCTCTTTGAAATCATTAATTCTCATGGCACTCATTACAAACCTCCTTGTATTACTGTAGTTATTTAGTGGATTCTGAGCTAAGTGTGTGTGGTAGGTATAATCAAAGTTAATTATCAGTACCTTTAGAAATATTCATTGACAATTTCTTTGTATAGTAAATAAGTTGCACAATTTTCTTTATTTCAAAAAGGGAAAAAAACATACGAATTATGAAGCTATATATTGGTCAAAACCAAAAAAGTGTTACTTTACTAGGTATCTTAAATATCTTTAATATTCAAATATTGTTGGAGAGCCTTATTTTTATTTTTGAATGCCAATCCATGAAAGTTATTTTTTTTTTTTGCTGTTAATCCTCACCTGAGGCTATTTTTTCCATTGATTTTTAGAGAGTAGAAGGGAGAGGGGGAGGGAGGGCGGGGGTGGGGGGAGGGAGAGGGAGAGAGAGAGAGAGAGAGAGAGAGAGAGAAAGAGAGAGAGAGAGAGAGAGAGAGAGAGAGAGAGAGAGAGAGAGAGAGAGAGAGAGAGAGAGAAACATAATCGATTGATTGCCTCCTACACATGCCCTGACCTGGGCCAGGAATTGAGCCTGCAACCCAGGTACCTGCCCTTGACTGGAATCAAACCCACGACCCTTCAATCTGTGGGTCAATGCTCTAACCCAGCCGTGGGCAAACTACGGCCCGCGGGCCGGATCCGGCCTGTTTGAAATGAATAAAACTAAAAAAAAAAAAAGACCATACCCTTTTATGTAATGATGTTTACTTTGAATTTATATTAGTTCACACAAACACTCCATCCATGCTTTTGTTCCGGCCCTCCGGTCCAGTTGAAGAACCCATTGTGGCCCTTGAGTCAAAAAGTTTGCCCACCCCTGCTCTAACCACTGAGATAACCAGCTAGGGCTGAAAGTTTCTTCTTAATGACTAACACCACTGAAACAAAGTTTAGTTAGAGCCCTAGCCAGTTTGGCTCAGTGGATAGAGCATCAGCCTGCGGACTGAAGGGTCCCAGGTTCGATTCTGGCCAAGAGCACCTGCCTGGGTTGTGGGCTCAATCCCCAGTAGGGGGTGTGCAGGAGGCAGCCAATCAATGATTCTCTCTCATCATTGATGTTTCTATCTCTCTATCCCTCTCCCTTCCTCTCTAAAATCAATAAAAAAAAGTATTAAAAATAAAAGTTTAGTTAGAGAACATATCCCCTTTTTGATTTAAGAATATAATGAATAAAACTCTATTATGTTCAGTAGCAATCATTTCATTTTCCAAACTAGGCACTCTAGCATCAGGTTAGAAAATTATAATTTTTTAATAAAGAAAACAGAAAAAGATCAGCTAGTTACCTGAGAGTTCCACAATGTTTATGAAAAAGAGGAGACTGTTTACTTGGATGGCTGCTATGATAACTGGAGAAATAAGACACAGACAAGATTTTATTATACAATAAATCATATTAATTTTATGACTATATTTCAAGTCTATGATCAGTTTATTAGTTTTGAATAAAAGATCCTGGTCTAAGTTATAAAATTCTATTAGTCATCTCTGTTCACTTCAAAATTTGTATTTTATATTTCACTTTACCTGTGTATTTTCTAACAACATATTTCCCTGAGAATATTCTTAAATGATCTGTACCTCAACATTATATCTGAAAAAAAATCTCAGTTGTCCTGACCAGTGTGACTCAGTTGGTTGGAGTGGCGTCCTGAATACCAAAAGGTCCTAGACAACCAATAATGTTTTTGACTTATTTGTGTTGTTTATAGATGCCAGTGAGTCAAAGGTGAAAATATTTCTCAAATAAAGATGAAGAGTTGGATCTTGGGGAAACTCAGCATTGAAATTGGAGGATTTACATTTGAAAAGTAAAAGATAAAAATCTGAGAGTGGTAGGGACCAAGAAAGGAAAGAGGCCAAAAGAGTTGAAGAAAGAAAAAGTAATGAAACAGAGGAGTAGCCAAAAAGGAAGTTTGAAAAAATGTTGGTAACAGTTTAAGAGAAGTTGAGGAGAAGAGTTTCAAAAGTGAGTTATCAAAAATATCAAATACTCTAAAGAAGTCACAGAGGAATAAGAATGAAAAATAGTGAGTAGATTTAGTAATTAGGGCATAACTGTTAAAAAGAAGCCCTAATTCTTTGTTAATAGGCAGGGGTGGTACTCAGATTACAAAGGGTAAAGAAATGATAGTAAAGGAAACTCTTTACAAATGTTGTCAATAAAAGGAAGAAAATATGCAAAGTAAAGGTAAATTCCCTTCATCTTAAAAAAAACAACATCCTGAAAATATTTGCAGGCAGAAGGAATGGTAGGGAGAAAAAGAAGTGAAGGCACAAAATAACTGAATAAGGCTATAGAGGAAATGGAGGAGCTAAGAGGCAGGGTAAACTCTGAAAAATGGGGCATGTCTTTTTCTAAGATTAATGTCTGGATGATTGGAAAAACGAGGTAGAAAAGTTAATCTGGGGAAAAAGGAAAAGGGTGATCTCTGAGCAATTAGAAAAGAATAACAACTGAGAGGCTAGAATAAAATCTTGAGAGTATTTAAAAGGATTTAAACAGATCTTGTAGATAAAAAAGAGGTATTTTTAAAAAGAGGACCAAATTAAAGTGGAAAATGAATTAAGAGCTGATTGAATCAAGCACAGCTTCATAGTCTATAACTGAGCATAGAGACAGATAAAAAAGGATAAAAGATTCAAGGATAGCAAGGCTAAGCATGACTAAAGATGTAAAAGATTATAGGGCAAAAACAAAGCAACATTCAAACAGATGACTTTGAAGATGAGGTTGACTATAAAGTTGGATTGGTGCTGCTGGACTAAAAAGAGGGGTCAAAACTCAAAGTTACGGAGTAATGAGAATTCAAAGTGAATATTGTATATGATGAGGTAAAATGGGACAGTGGTAAGAAGAGGGTCAACATGTAAAGTGGATGTGAAGTGCTGGCTTTAAAGAAGTCAAGGTACCATGAGGTCAGGCTCATCACCAAGGGGGGCAGGGGGCCTGGCAAGCCATAAAGAAATGTGGGCAAATCCTATAAAGTGGAAGTTAACTATGATCAGAAAGTAACACAGAGGTCTTGTTATGATTTAAGAGAAAACCACTGTTAGTGATTATATCTTATTTCTGACTAAAAAAAAAATTAAGTGGAACTACCTTAATTTGAATCAACAGCATAATTATATTAAAAAAAGTTTTGTCTATTAAAAATAATTCATCCTGAAGGAAGCACGTACCAATAAGATCCAAATGAAAGTAATGTGGGCTCTGAAGTATTTTTTCTAGCATAAAGTATATGATAGGTACTAAAATAATATAAATTGAATTGATATATGAAAAGAAATTTCAACAGTAGCATCATCCCTGGAATATCCCTATAGTCTCTCATTTCACATTTCATTGAAATGAATGCAAAGATGGATGGCTTGAAAGAGGGATAGATGGAGAGACAAAGGGGTGGAGGGACAGAGAGAGAGTGCGCATATGTGTGTGCCAATAATGGTCTTAGCATCTTTGACAAATCTGATGTCTCTCAAAGTGACTGATTATGTGGTTACACGTATTTATTTAATAAATATTTTTGAAACATTTAAAAAGCTTTCTTTGGAAATAACCACTTTTTGAAAGACCCAAAGAAACAAATTTCCCTAACAAACTTATTCTAATTTCATTAGTCTAACTTCTTGAAATTTTTGTGCTACTAATTTCATAAATTATTATGCTAGAAAGTAGTACTGGGTAATAGCCTAGGACAGTGATGGCAAACCTATGACACGCGTGTCAGAGGTGACACGCAAACTCATTTTTTTGGTTGATTTTTCTTTGTTAAATGGCCTTGAAATATATAAAATAAATATCAAAAATATAAGTCTTTGTTTTACTATGGTTGCAAATATCAAAAAATTTCTATATGTGACACAGCACCAGAGTTAAGTTAGGGTTTTTCAAAATGCTGACACGCCGAGCTCAAAAGGTTGCCATCACTGGCCTAGGAGTTCCCTATTGCTAGATCCTTTTAGCTCCTTGATGTGACAAACTAGCTTCTAATAGGCCAGATTTGTTTGAAAAACCAAACATCTTAAGTGGCAGTTTTGATTGACAGTGTACATATTTAACTCACCTCACCATATGATTTATAAAGGCTTTGTTACAGTTAGTGTTGTATTTGCAAAAATTACAGTGGATATGTATTGAAAAGTGGCTCGCAAAATCTTTAATTTTGGAATGACACTCAATGCACTTGTGAACTCCTCGATAACACCTTATGGAAACAGAAAAAAATGATAAAATTTATATTGTAAAACAAAAATAATAAGGTAAAGCCTTATTAACATTTTATTAATTGAAGCTAAGATATTAAAGTTAACATCTTTAAATAGAGACTTATAATTTGAAATTGTCTTTGAAATAACAAGCTAGAATAAGTATAAAAAATCTAACAGCAGTTAACCTTTCCCTGGAATAAAAAAGATCATATTAACCAATTCAACTATCATAAGATATAAACACAAAATATAAGTGTAAAAGATGGCAATTATACAATGAACACAGTAATTCAGGTTCTGTCCAACAGTTATAAAAAGTACCGTTTTACTGCTTGGCCTTTAAGATAAGTAATCATCATGTAAATGTGCAAGGGAGTTTTGTGATCTGGTAAATTATAATAAAAGAAACCTTTAATTCGAATATTAAATTGATATTGCAAATCAGATTACCTTAAGTTCTTCAAAGCTATGATGATTTTGTTCTTTCTGTTGCGTTGTTTCTTTTGCTTGCAAGAGGTTTTTCCTTTGCATTTAGATGCACCTTTACCTTGCTTACTTGAATTGGCTAGTTTACATATACTGGAAATAGTTGAACGAGCCTTACGTATCTTAGATTTACTTGCACTCGATTTTGTGGAGCTTTTAGTAGTTGTATTTTTAGACTTTGGAGGTGAGACCTGAAGAGAAGAAGTGCTTGGAGTATCACTAGAAGATGGAGTTGATGGCTTTGAATGAGATCCAAATGAAGCTCGAATAGTAACCTATAAATATGAAGGCAATATATATTTTTTAATAAAATTAATCATCCAAATAATATTAAAAAGGTCACTGCAAGCACTCACAGCATGATCAATTGTTTTTTGACGAGGGTGCCAAAATAATTCAGTGAGGGAAACAATAGTTTTATCAACAAATGGTGCTAGTACAAATAGATATTCTACATTCCAATCAAGTTGGATCCCTTCTAGATATATAAGTTAACTCAAAATATACCAAAAGTCCAAATTATAAGAACTAAAACTAGAAAACTCTTAGAGGAAAACATAATAAATCTTTGTGACCTTGGGTTAGGCAATAATTTCTTAAATATGACACCAAAAGCAACAAGCAACCAAAGAAAAACAGACAAATTGGACTTCATAAAAATTTTAAACTTTTGTGCTTCAAAGGACACCATTAAGGAAGTAAAAAGATAAACTATAGAATGAGATAAAATATTTTCAAAACATATATCTAATAAGGGACTTATATACAGAATATATAAAGAACTCTTACAACTCAGTATAAAGACAAATAACCTGGGGTGGTAAACACACAATGCAGTGTACAGATGATGTGTTGCGGAATTGTGCACCTGAAACCTGTATAATTTTGTTAACCAGTGTCAATCCAATAAAGTCAATAAAAAGTAAAGAAAGACAAATAACCCAATTGAAAAATGGGAAAGTATATTGTAATAACTATGTATGGTGCCAGGAGGGTACTAGAATAGCAGAAGGAACATTTTATAAAGTATATAGTTGTCTAAACATTATGCTATATATCTGAAACTAAAACAAATAATGTTGAATGTAAACTATAATTGAAAAAATTTAGAAAAATGGGCAAGTGATATGAATAGGCATTTCTTCAAAGATATATACAATGGCCAATAAGCACATGAAAATATGCTCAACATCACTAGTCATCAAGGAAATGTAAGTCAAAACTCCAATGAGATATCACTTAAGACCAACTAGAATTGCTATAATAAAAAAGGCAGATAAGAGACAAAAGGGGCTGCAGCAGCTGGAGCAGGACTGGCCAGCGCTGGAGGAAGCGAAGCATCGCGGGCAGCAAGCGAGATGCAGCACCTAGGATTCCTCTTCCTCGCCTTCCACACCCTGCTGGCGCTCACCTCCGCTGTGGCCAAAAAGAATGACAAAGTGAAGAATGCTCAGAGTGGACCTGGGGGTCCTGCACTCCTAGCAGCAAGGACTGCGGGGAGGGTTTCCGCCAAGGTACCTGCGGGGCCCAGTCTCAGTGCATCCGGTGCAGGGTGCCATGCAACTGGAAGAAGGAGTTTGGAGCCGACTGCAAGTACAAGTTTGAGAGCTGGGGGGTCATGTGTTGGGAACTCGGGCACCAAAGCCCGCCAAGGTACCCTGAAGAAGGTGCGGTACAATGCCCAGTGCCAGGAGACCATCCATGTAACCAAGCCCTGTGCCCCCAGGACCAAAGCCAAGACCAAAGCCAAGAAAGGGAAGGGAAAGGACTAGAGGCCAGGCCTGAATGCCAAAGAGCCCCTGGCCCACGTCTTCCCTCCCACAGCCCCAGGTATAACCCACCAGTGTCTTTTGTTACTCTTTTTTTAAAAATTTATTTTATTTTTATATTTATTTATTTTTTTATCTCTAAATTCTTTATTAGTTAAGGAATTACAAATGTGTCCTCATCCCCCCCATTAACCCTCATCCTCCCCCCCACTCATGCTCTCATCCCCCTGTTGTCCATGTCCATGTCTTTTATTACTCTTCAGCTTTATTAATCATGCCCTGCCATTTCCCTTTCCTCCCCAGCCCCAACCCCCTAAGTGCCCAAAGTGGGGAGGGACAAGGGATTCTGGCAGCTTGAGCCTCCCCCAAAGGAATTTGATTCCCATGCCCCTGTTGTTCTTACCCACAATGACGCCATTGCTAAAAAGCAAATAAAACTCATTTTCTACCCCCCCCCCCCCGCCAAAGGCAGATAATAAAAAGTGTTGCTAAGTATATGGAGAAATTGCAACTCTTATATATTGCTGGTGAGAATGTACAATGGTGCAGTAGCTTTGGAAAACAGTTTGGCAATTCCTCAAAATGTTAAACATAAGAATTGTCATATAACCCAGCAATTTGATTCCTAGCAATTCCATCCAAGAGAAATAAAAAATTTTGTTCACATAAAAACTTGTACATGAATTTTCATAGATGCATAATTCATATAGACAAAACCTGGAAACAACCAAAATGCCCATCAGTTGATGAATGGATAAATAAAATATGGTATATCACTACAACTGAATAATATTCACCCATAAATAAAGAATGAAAGTACTGATACATAAGTACTGGTATATAAGTACTGACTGATACAGCCATAAGAAAGAGTGAAATATTGATATAAGCTACAATATGGATGAATCTCAGAAACATTATGTGAAGTGAAATAAGTCAGTTATAAAAATCACTCATGGTATGATTCCATTTATATGAAATATCCAGAACAGGAATATCCACAGGGAGAGGAAACAGATTAAAGTTTGCCTGAAGCTGATAGAAGGGAAATAGGAAGTGACTGACAATGGGTATGGGGTTTCTTTTGGGATTGATGAAAATGTTCTAAAATGGATTGTAGTGATGTTTGTATAACCTTGTGAATGTACTAAATAACACTGAATTGTACACTTTTAAAAAATATATATATTTTATTGATTTTTTACAGAGAGGAAGGGAGAGGGATAGAGAGTAAGAAACATCGATGAGAGAGAAACATCGACCAGCTGCCTCCTGCACACTCCCCACTGGGGATGTGCCTGCAACCAAGGTACACGCCCTTGACGGAATCGAACCAGGGATCCTTAAGTCCACAGACCAATGCTCTATCCACTGAGCCAAACTGGTTAGGTCTGAATTGTACACTTTAAATGGGTCAATAGTATGATATAAAAATTATCTAACCTTATATAATAAAAGAGAAATATGTACATTGACCGTCACTTTGCAACACTCCACAGCCAATCAGGAGCAAGCATGCAAATTAACCCGACAAAGATGGCAACGGCCCCACCCCCTGGCTGCTCCGGGCCTCTGGGCAGCGTGCCTTGTCAGGGCCTCTCTGCTACAATCCACACCTGTCAATTGTCCTTGCAGCCTCTCTGTGGCCCAGCCCGAGGCCTCAGAGGCAACCCTCTGGTGCCTGAGGTTGTAGCTCCCAGTGTCTGGCGTCTCCCTCTCCCCCACCCCTGCCCAGCTGCTCTGATAAACAAAACCCTAGCGTTGGAGCAGCCCTGCTGGCTTGGACACACGGGAGCTCACTCAGTGCACAGTTAGCACACGCTGGGAGCCCCGGGCCAGCCAAGGGGCGATGGTGGCAGCCATGGCGGCAGTGGCAGGCAGCTCAGCTTTGTTTTGAATAGATGAAAGAGGCCACCTACACAGTAACCCAAATTATCAGATCTCCCTCCTCCCTATCTTGTCAAATCAAGAGGGGAGGGGCAATGGGTGTGGAGGGAGGGCAGGCAGGCAGGCAGGAGGCGGAGGGTGGAGGAGGAAGAGGATGAGGAAGGGGGCCAGTTGCATCCCACTTTCACAATAGGAAAGTGAAACCAACTATCGAACCCAACCTCTCCAGTCCTTCCCGCCTCCACTGCCGCTTCACAGGCTGCCGGAACGAGCCCGCTGTGTGTCGGCAGCCAGGGGAAGGAAGGCCTATTCTTGCACGAATCTTCGTGCATCAGGCTTCTAGTATCTCAATAAAGCTATTTTAAAAATCACTGCAATACAGAAAGTTAAAAATCATTACTTTGAAAATGGCAAGTGTAAATTACAATCAGTTAAATCTTCCATTTATTCTAAATGGTCATACCAATGAAATAAAATTTATTTACTGTCATACTAGTACAGTTTTGTATTGCTAGTATTTATATGTTAACACAGATATGGACAATTAGTAGTTTGTACTAATTATATGAATATCAAAAGAGCACATTCCATGGCTATTTTATACTCTGATATAACTAAATAGCTTTCACAAATTTGGAGGTCAAAATTTATTCTCAAAGGCCTCAAATAATAAATATGGAAAGGCCTAAATTACTTTTTGGTAACCATAAAATAGATCTCCAATAAATGTGACCCGCTGTCTCTGGGGACTCACTGGACAGAATTTATGGTTCCAAAGGTTACTGTGGAGGTTATATCAATGCATCATATGTCATGGAGTGTTTAATAATACTCAGAATTTCCTTTAAGGGACCTAATATAAAATTTGTCATTTAGTATTTAGAAAAAGAAAATGTTTGCTCATATCCCTTAGTTAATATAATGAAAAACACAGTTGCCTATTTACATTCTTAATCATTTGACTATACTACCCCCATATACTTGAGGAGCAGACAATAAAGAAGTCATATGTAATACATACATATGACTTTCCTATTGTGAAAGTGGGATGCAACTGGCCCCCTTCCTCATCCTCTTCCTCCTCCACCCTCCGCCTCCTGCCTGCCTGCCCTCCCTCCACAGCCATTGCCCCTCCCCTCTTGATTTGACGAGATAGGGAGGAGGGAGATCTGATAATTTGGGTTACTGTGTAGGTGGCCTCTTTCATCTATTATGGTTTGGTATCATACAAAGAACACTGAACTAGGAATTAAAAGACCCAAGGTTAAGTCTCAGTACCACCTCTTCCTAGCCATGTGACCTTGAGTAAGTAACTTATCCTCTTTAAACTTTCTCATTTATAGTATGGGAATACTATCTGCCTTGTCTACCTCATTGAATTGCTACATGGATTAAATAATAGAATGTATTAAAAAACATGCTGAAAGCTTAATTCTAAAGTATAAGGCATTTAGTGCCAATCATTATGATTAATATTATAATAATGTTATAATGAAATATACTAATTATTACTACTAATAAAGGAAGATATGAGGGAGGACTGAACTGCTTACATTAATATTCTGTATGTCTTAGTCTCAGCATGGAATGAATGGATTGCAGGGAAGGATACTGGATAGCTTCTCTCACTCTACATCTTCAGAGCACTGTTTTACATTATTTTCAAACAATAGACATATTCACATCCAAAGGTAAGTGCTCAAAAACAAATATAAATGCTTGGGAACTGTTCACGTTGGACTATACATTTCTCCACTGGAGCATAGTCAAGAGCTGACTTTACATAAAAAAAGTCAGAGAAAAAGTACATAAGGCAAACAGGGAAAAGGAAATTTGCAGTCAGATGTGTTTGTACTCTTAAAACATCAATGCTATTCAGAAGCAGAACATGCTTCTCTGAGAATAGACTCAGTAATACCAACTTCAATGAACTATGGCACTCAAGCACTATGACAAATTCCAGAGACACAAAGATAAATTAAACCTGATCCTGACCCTACAGTCTAGCGGCTGAAGCAGATATATATGCTGCCAACTGGATTAGCTCAGAAATAGCCTATAGAATATTGAAACAAACCATTGAATCAAACTACAGTTAATCTACTTGCACTCACTACAAAGGAATATGATCCAATATAGCACATGTCAATCAACTCAGAAAAGAATGGAAAAAGTTTTTCTTTCCAAACATAGGATAAAACCTAAAATTAAAATCTTAATGACAATCAGAAGTCAATTTTTAATATTATATTCAATAGATAAAACCAGGCGGGAGGTTATTTCTATAATCACACAAAATGTTAAAATACAACATATTTAAAAACTCACTTTTGAACCAGGAGGCAAGCCTTCTAGTTCTTTAGGTTTTATAAAAGTCCGATGCTGGGTCTTGTGATCCAGTTTCTCCTTGCTGGTCAAAAATTGCAATCTGCATTTTGTACAACGATGAACTCCTTTTTTCTGTTTAAAAAATAATATTAGAAGTAATAATTTATTAGAGAATGTGACATTGGGCAAGTTACTTACTCTCTATAATGTGTTTGTATTACTATTTTAGTTTCATTTGCTTCCTTATCTATGAAATGAAAATGACCATATACCTGCTTTGTAGAGTGGTGGTGAGAATTACACAAGATGATACAAGTAAAAGTACTAGTAACTGTCATACGGCAAGTGATTAATATATGTCAGTTGCTTTGTTATTATTCTTATTTTTTCCACTCCATTCATCAGTTTATTTCATTAATTAAATTCCATATATGAGTGAGATCATGTGATACTTGTCTTTCTCTGACTGACTTATTTCACTTAATTGACTTATTATTATAAAGATTTAATGAGGCTATTTAACACATCTGAAATCCTTCACCTTTTCTTAAAAGTTCTACAAGCCGTACAGTTAGCTCTAAAATCACTGAGTGGAAAGAAATAAAATAAAATGAAATAAAATAAAATCACTCAGTGGCTCAGTGGTTGAGCATCGACCTATGAAGCAGAGGTCACAGTTCAATTCCTGGTCAGGGCACATGCCCGGGTTGCAGGCTCCATCCCCAGTGTGGGGTGTACAGAAGGCAGCCGATCAATGATTCTCTCTCATCATTGATGTTTCTATTCCTCTCTCTCTCTCCCTTCCTCTCTGAAATCAATAAAAATATATTAAAAAAATAAAATCACTCAAAATATATTATTTTTAGGAAAAAAGTTTCATCCGAAGTCTTCAAAAAGAATAAATTTGACTATAGATTCAACCATTTTTATTGTCTTAAATGGCACTAATATGATCTCAATTACAAGCTTATACTCCTGCTATGGTTTTCGAGTATTTTGTGAACAGTTATACAAATTGCAAGTACTTTGAAGGATGTCTGGTGATCTTTTGTATTAATAGTCGTTCCTTTACTGCAGGCTGGGGAACGTCTGGCCTGTGGGCCATATAAGGCCTACAAAATAATTTGGTCTGGTCCGGCCAAGGCATTAGAGGTAAGTTAATTAAATGTTTGACCAAAGATAGCAGGCTAATTTTTAAGTTGATAATGGACCTCAAATGATGTAATAAATATCTAAATGGCCCCTGGCACAAAAAAGGCTCCCCACTCCTGCTCTACTGACTGCTGACTGCCTATCTCTTAGGTTCTTGAAACTTACAAAAAGTTTGGGCACTCAAGGTGTGTCAGTAATCTCTAAGATTACTCCAAGTTTTGATGATCTAGTAAGAGGAATTATAAGATTTAGAAGTTGTGATACCTGTAGCTCTGATTTATTACAGTGAAAGGATACAGAGCAGGATTAATACAGGAAAGAAAAGCACATTGGGTGGAGTCTGAAGGATACTGGCTCCAATTTCCAAGTGCTTCTCCCGATGGAGTTGTATAGGGCACAATCAATCCTCTAACAATATGAAAGCGTTTTATTTTGTTTGTTTGTTTGTTTGTTTGTTTTGCCAGGGAAACTCTTTTGAGTCTAAGAGCCCTGATTTTTTATGGGGTTCAGTCACCAATCTTCAGATTCCCAGTAGAAAAGCAAGTGTTCACTACAATCATATTTTTTTTGGACAAGTGATCTAGAAAAGCTGGTAAACATGGTTCAAAGTTTCAGACATGTAGAATACTCATCAGTTAACAAAGGTTCAGTTTTCAGGAGTTAAGTAAAGCCGGTTATGCAAATAGACCCTTCTGAAAATGTGCATGATTTGGCAACTCAAGACCTGTTGGGTTAACTATATACATGGCAAGTTGAGAAATACAACTCAGAGTCTGAAGAGTGACCACAAATCATGTAAACCACGTAAGAGACACAGTCCTCATAGCAAGCCCATTCTTCTCTTTTTTACCTTTCTAAGCATATTATTACTCCCTCCACATCTACACTTCACCCTGGTGCTTAGTAAAGCATGGGAGAAAGAATTATGTTAAAAAAGCTTCCTAATGAAATAGTCAGAGCTTTATATCTCCTACTTCTTTTCAAAATCAAAGGTCAAAAGATGAAACATAGAGCATCAAGACCAGTGGTTCCCAAACCCTATTCCTCAAGAAATTTTAATAAAAGACAGAGAAACAGCAATCAGACTATCAATCCCCAGAGGGAAGGTAGGGGAGGGAGGGGGTAAGGGGGAGAGATCAACCAAAGGACTTGTATGCATGCATATAAGCCTACCCAATGGACACGGACAACAGGGGGATGAGAGCATGAGTTGGGGGGGGGGCGGGGAGGTTGGGGGTTAATGGAAAATGAGGACACATTTGTAACACCTTAACCAATAAAGAAATTAAAAAAAGAAATGTTAATAGATATTGCACAAATAAAAGGTTCAATGGTCAAATAAGTTTTGGGGAAAATATATGCAATATCCCTTGCTTGGAGATTTATTATTTTTTTTAGCATATTGAAAGCTCTTAACATATTATTTTTTAAAAATATTAATTTTGTAAATCTAGCCATTTAATGAATCTCCTTTTTTCTGGCGACAATTTTAGAGCAGAACCTCTCTTAACATCTGATGGAACCTTGGTGGAGAAACCTTAGAATAGAAAGATTTTTTTTTGTTAATCCCCACCCAAGGATATCTCTCTCTATGTGTTTCTCTCCCTTCCTTCCACTCTTTCTCTTCTTCATGTTGATTGAATAAAGGAAAAGCAGCTGGTGATAGCATTCTCTCAGCTGTGACACACAGAGAGAAACATCGATGTGAGAGAGACACATAGCTTGGTTGCCTCCTGCCCACGTCCTAATCAGGGCCAGGGATCGATCCTGCCACCCAAGTACATGCCCTTGACTGGAATTGAATCCAGGACCCTTCAGTCTGAGGGCTGATACTCTATCCACTGAATCAAACTGGCTAAGGCTAGAACAGAAAGATTTTGCCATATGTTCTTAAGGATGAGGTGGCATATCAGGATAAAAAAAAAAAAAAGCATGTTGGTACCATCCCAGTCATAACATAAGTGATCCTAAATGTATTTGGATATGCTACTTTTATGAATTTTTTGTAATTAACAACTACAAGTTGATTTCATGATTATCTAATGACTGGAACTAAAGGCAATGTTAGCAGTGGTGTGGAATAAATTGGCCATGACAGTGTAATCAATACTAAGAAAATGTAATAAGCTGATCAGTGAGAAGACAAAATTTGATTACAAAACTTGATTAATTAGATTCAGGGAATTCACTGACTGCTTCTGATTTTGGCAAAGGTACCATTGCTCTTTCAAACACTCAAGAATAGATTTACTTCAAAGGGGGGGCAAATATATAGTGATGGAAGACGATTTGACTGTGGATGGTGGCCACACAATGCAATATTTAGATCATGTATTAGAAATGTACACTAGAAACCTGCATGGCACCCCAACAAATTTAATTTAAAAAGTTTTCAGCCCAAATAAAAGATGGTCTAATTGTGTCAGGAAAAGAACAAGCAAGCATAAAATGATAATTCAAAGGAAAGATGAAAGCACTAATACTGGTATCTGAGAAATTACATAGCAGAACTGGCAAGTCATCCAGGAAACAAATTATAACCTAAATGTAACTCTCTGGCATAGTTCACATTCTAGAAAAAGTCTCATTGCTGTTTCCTTTATCACTGATGGCTACAAGAGACTATTCCAGGTCACTGATGAGAACCACATGTCTTCTCATAATAAAAAATGGGCCAGAAATAGGAAATAACGTTTGAAGAGAAAAAGGGAAGAGAAGACTATGAGTCCTCAATTATATCTTCCTCGGTTCATACTTATCCTTTTCTTTGCTCCTGATTACCTTCAAAATCATTTCCATTCTCAACATTCTTAGACCCCCGAAATATCCAACCTAAATATTCCACTCACATTCCCTCTTCTCCTCTACTCTAGGCTTCATATTTCTACCTACACTTCAGAATTTTCACTTTCATGAGCCACATCATGAGGAAGGAGACAAGTAAAAGAAGTGGAAGTTTCATAAGTAATTCAGCATAAATTGTAAATTGTGTCATTTGGAACAACTTTGCTTTCCTTCTAGAACAAATCTAACCAATGATCTAATATATATATATATATATATATATATATATATATATATATATATATATATATAATCTTTTCACTAAGACAAAATAAATAAGAACTGCTAAATCTTACCTGATGTTTCATGTAATGATTCATGTAGGGGGTTGCCATTCTACTAACTTTGAGGCAAAATGGACACAGCAAGTTCTTTGTGTTTTCATGGGATGTTCTAAAATGAGTTTCTACATCAGAAAATGTTGATGATCTAAACTGGCAAACCTAGAAATACAAAGAAGGTTTAGTTTAACTTGAATGTATAACTGATATGCAATTACATTAAAGTAGCAATGATAAATCATTTTTTCAGAGGAACATTACGTTCTAATTCATCTTTGCTGCCTATACAATCAAGAATCCTATTACTTCAAATAATAATGATGATCTTTGAAACAGAAAAGTATCATTCAAACTCTGACACCTCTTGTCCTATAAAGCTTATCCTGCTATATAAAATGAGAGTATTCTCTTCTTTGTATTTTAAATAACATCCAGAATATGATAGAGGCAATTTATCTTTATCTTGCTATCTTATTGGGAACCACTTCAAATTCTAGAAAAATAGTGGCCACAAAGTATTTAGTTGAGTTTCCCATAACTAACAGCATTTACTATTTCTCTGGCATGTCTTTATTTTCCCTACTTAGTAAAAAAGTCCATATGTTTGTCTTTTTCTAGCAGGGTATTTTGTTTTTCTAGTACAGGGGTCAACAAACTATGACCCACAGGCCAAATCCAACCCACCACCCACACATACATGAGTTAAACCAAGGGAGTTTTTATGATTGAAGAGGGTCTTCAATTTAGTAACTTGTTTTACTTAAATGGTTAAAAAATAATAAAATACTATTTCATGGCACATGATAATTAAACTAACAGCTAAGTAGACAATAAAATGTGTGTGTACCTGGCAAATATATGGCATTTCACCAGGTTTATGAGTGTCCTTCATATGTTGTAAAAGAGTATGTTCTGTTTCAAATGATAATTCACAGATTTTACAAATCGCTGAAATTAGAAAAACACACGTTACATCATTTTAAGGATGTATATAAATAAAAGGTTTATTTTGTACATCTATAACAACAGCAACAAGTAATAATAGTAATAGTGATGGTGGTTCCAATAATTCTATAGTTAACTCTGTTAATGCTGTAGTAAGGACTTTACTTATATTAGCTTACTTAATAATTCCCATTCCATAGTTGAGAGAGGTACTGTTATTTTTATTCCCATTTTTCAGATGAGGAACCTGAAGTACAGAAAGTTTAGGTAACTTGCTTGAGATCTCGCAGTTGTATTAAAAGGTAGAACTGGAATTTGAGTCCAAGCTGTCTAACTCCACACTCTGTGATTTCAACTTTCACTGCAGTTATCTTTCTTATTAGAGTATAAATCAAGATCATTGATTTCATATTTGAAAACCAGGGACTCTGGTTTTTAGCTTACCCCCTACACATCATACAGGAGATATGCCCTATTTATAAGAGGGATCTCAACTTAAGTAATCTTATTGAAAAGTTTCTGCAAGTTAAAATTTGCTTTTCAACTTTGTCCTCAAACTACAAAGTCTATTTCTTATTTTTCTATCAGAGTTCTTAAGGATCCCTCATAGTTTATATGATCAAAATAATTGATGCTTAGCACTTCAGTGAAACTGTGACTTACTAGAAAACTCATGAGGTGTGTGTGTACTCTCAATGTGACACTGCAGCTGGAATGGTGTAGGATACTGACGGTAACAGTGCTGGCAGGTGGTGTGACTTTCCCAGCTCTCACTGTTCTGCTTCTCAAGTTCCAAATGGTGTTTCATGTGATTCATAAACCTATAAATAATTGTCAACAGGTGCAAATATTCAGATTTATAACAAAAAACCCTCACAAGTAAGTATCTGAACCTAAATGTTAGAAAGGCAGTTATATTATTCAGAATAATATCTCTAAGCCTTAAAATCCTCTAGAAAATGTGCACTTCAAATAATCACTTTCATTAAATGGCTCAGTAAATCTATTTGTAAAATACAGTGGAACCTCGTTTCTTGAACGTAATTTGTTCCAGAAGGCTGTTCAAGAAGTGGTTTGAAAACTGAATAATTTTCTCCCATTAAAAATAATATAAATTTAATAAATCCATTCCAGACTGCCAAATGATTCCCTTTTTTAAACCTTTCTTATATACAGTACATGTCTAATATACTGTTTAATCCTATATGATAAAAGGCTAATAAGAAAATCAATCAAACAGCAGAATGACCCGTCTCTATGACACACACTGACTACCAGGGGGCAGATGCTCAACACAGTAGCTGCCCCCTGGTGGTAAGTGCACTCCCACAGGGGGAGCACTGCTCAGCCAGAAGCTGGGCTCACGGCTGGCAAGCGCAGTGGCAGTGGTGGGAGCCTCTTCCACTTCCGTGACAGTGCTAAGGATGTCTGATTGCCTGCTTAGGTGGGGAGCAGGCCTAAGCCATCAGTCGGACATCCCCTGAGAGCTCTTGGATTGCGAGAGGGTGCAGGCCAGGCTGAGGACCCCCCCCCCCCAGTGCACGAATTTCAAGCACTGGGCCTCTAGTTTAAAAATAAACACTTCTTTTCTTAAATTTATAGGACTATCTTCTACTAGCCTTAAAGGAATTTTTCATATATCACTGCCTCCAAAATGCTATCACCAGCTGCTTTTCCTTTATCCAATCAACAAGTTTTTCTACCTATTCAATTACCTGTGATTGCTGTTTTGTGAACACTTTCATACCCTTAGCAACATTAGCACTCTTGATTGCCTCTTTATGTTTTAAAATTGTGCTAAGTGCCAGGAACTCCTTTGCTAGTTGCCTGCTAGATTCTTTTTGTCATCTGAGGTATCAGCATGAAAAGGTTGTCAGTTCGAAAACTGAAGTTTTGATCCATGGAGACATTTTTTTCCTGTTAAAACTTGGTAAAGAAAAGGGCTTGTTGTCCTAACCAGTTTGGCTCAGTGGATAGAGCGTCGGCCTGCAGACTGAAGGGTCCCAGTTCAATTCCGGTCAAGGGCATGTACCTTGGTTGAGGGCACATCCCCAGTGGGGGCATGCAGGAGGCAGCTTATCGATGTTTCTTTCTCATTGATGTTTCTAACTCTCTATCCCTCTCCCTTCCTCTATGTAAAAAAATCAATAAAATATATTTTAAAAAAAGAAAAAAAGAAAAGAAAAGGGCTTGTATGCATGCATATAAACCTAAACAATGGACACAGATACCAGGGTGGTGAGGGCATGAGTTGGGGGTTGAGGAGGCAATGGGGGGATAAGGACACATACATAATACCTTAATCAATTTAAAAAAAGAACGGAATTGTTCAAGATGGGAGACGTTTGAGAAACAAGGTTTGACTATAATCTCTTTGTTTTAAAACAACCCATTAATAGTTAATATGAAATACCATGAATTTTCTAGAACACTTCATTATTATTACATATAAAAATTTTTATAAAGAAAAACAGCAGGCTATCGCTTCTTGGCCTTTTGGCTAAGATCAAGTGTAGAAAAACAGGCTACTTTTCCATATATGAAATACTATATACATTTTAAAATAAAATACTTAAAGGAAGGAAACCCTACCACCAAAAGCAGTTATAAATTCATGAGAGAAATCTTTTTGAAGGCCTTAAATATATAAAATAGGCTTCAGTGGCTTAAAGGACAAATTATTAATTTTTTTTTTTATATAGTAATCATCATGGACGTTTTACTATTTATCTTTTCACACTTTCAAAACACTACTTCACTTTAGAGCTGCTTATAGTACACTTTGAAATGTCTTTTCCCCCTTTCATTTTAACATCATCTCTATTCAAATCTATTTTAAAAATCCTAGTCTTGCCTAAATGCTACAAAATTTCTAGATGTTATAAAATATGGTGAGCTTAAAATTTCTAGACAGTTTGATAATCTAGAAATCTGTAACCAGTCTTTTGAAATGAAAGTAAAAAAGAAAGGGAATCCAAGATGGCTGCCAGTGGGACTGCAGGCTGCTAGATAGTGTGAGAGTGAGAGAATGAAAGGAGAGTGCGTGGACGTGCGGGGAGTGTCAGTATTTGTGAGGGACAGCTATACTACAAGAGACTGTTGGGGACTGGCAGACCAGCCCCACGTAACTGGGCAGCTTCTACTGCAGCTGAAATCTCTCCTGGAGCAGCTGGCTCTGCTGCAGAGGCCATGCCATCTTGAAGGGGAGACAGCTGTGATCAGAGACTGACTGTGATTGGAACCCCAGCCTTACCTTCAACCAGGGAGATCTCGGATGCCTCCCGGGACCTTACAACAACAATGCCCAGGGACCAGTTACCTCAGCTGCAAATCCACGAATGCCGGAACTCCAACCTCCCCAACCACGGGTGCCTGAGAGGTCTGCTCAGGGGGAGACAAACGCATGAATTTTTGGATGGGCCCTGTGCCTTTTCACAGAGCAGAAGAAACAGCTGAATCAAAGAGCACCCACCCAGAACTGGTGAATTAAACACAGCTGGCATTGCCTAAAGAAAGTCAATGCAGGAGAGAGAGTGCTACATAGCCAGAAACCCTGAGAGGAGCCATCACGGGGAGACAAAGAAACAGCCCACATAAGAAAGAAAAGGAGAAATCAGCAGAAAAGCAAGTAAATGAAATGGAGGCAAGCAATATGACAGAGAAAGAATTCAGAGCAATGGTCATAAGGTCACTGAAAAGGGTGGAAGACAAATTCAACACCATGTGTAAGAACCAAGAGAAATGAAGAACCAAGAAGAAATGAAAAATGACATTGCTGCAATAAAGGCCTCAATAGAAAGTATCAACAGTAGACTAGAAGAAGTGGAGGACTGCATCAGTGAGCTAGAATACAAGGTAGGAAAAAATACCCAAGCAGAGAAGCATGTAGAAAAAAAAAAACCACTTAAAAAACAGGAGGAGAGCCTAAGGGAACTTTGGGACAACACAAAACAAAACAACATCTGCCTAATACGGGTACCAGAAGGAGAGGAAACTGAGCAAGGAATAAAAAACCTGTTTGAAGAAATAATGACAGAAAACTTCCCTGATATTGGGAAGTAAAAACTCACACAAGTCCAAGAAGCTCACAGAGTCTCCAACAAGATGAACCCCAAAAGATCGACACCAAAACACATTATAATTAAATTGGCAAACACAAACGACAAAGTAAGAATCTTAAAGGCTGCCAGAGAGAGACAGAAAGTTACTTACAAAGGATCTCCCATCAGACTATCAACTGATTTCTCAACAGAAACACATCAGGCCAGAAGGAAATGGAATGAAATATACAAAGTCATCCAAAGCAAGTGTGTGAATCCAAGAATACTGTACCCAGCAAGGCTATCAATAAAAATTGTGGGTGAAATCAGGAGCTTCATAGGCAAAAAAGGACTAAGGAAGTTTATTACCACCAAACCAGCAATGCAAGAAATGCTAAAGGATCTGCTATAAAAAAAAGGAATAGGAAGGGAAGAAGGAACACAGGCATAAAGAATAAAAATGGTGACAAACAAGTACCTATCAATAACTTTAAATGTAAATGAATTAAATGCCTCAATCAAAATACATAGGGTAGCTGAGTGGATAATAAAACATGACTCATGTATCTGCTGTCTACAGGAAACCCACCTTAGAACAAAGGACTCACAAAGACTGAAGGTGAAGGGATGGAAAAAGTTTTTCAGGCGAATGGAAATGAAAAAAAAGCTGGGGTAGCAAAACTTATATTTGACAAATTAGACCTCAAAGTGAAGGCCATAACAAGAGATAAGGAAAGCCACTTCATAATACTAAAGGGAGCAATTCAACAAGAAGATACAACTCTGGTAAACGTATATGCACCCAATACATGAGCACCCAATACATAAACAAACAAACAAACAAACAAACAAAAAAACTTCTGGAGGATATCAAGGGAGAGATTGACAGCAATACAGTCATAGTAGGGGACTTTAATAACCCACTAACACCACTGGACAAATCCTCTAAACAAAAAAATCAGCAAAGAAACAGCAATCCTAAATGACTCACTAGATCAGATGGAATTAATTGACATCTTCAGAACATCCCACCTCAAAGCCAGAGAATACATATTCTTCTCAAGTGCACATGGGTCATTTTCAAAGATAAACCACATATTGGGGCACAGGCATTCTTTTTAAATTCAAGAAGACAGAAATCATATCAAGCATCTTCTCAGATCACATTGGCATAAAACTAGAAATTAACTACAATAAAAACAATAAAAAAATAAAACACCTGGAGGCCAAATAGGATGCTATTAAACAATGATTGGGTTAACAAAGAGATCAAAGAAAAAACAAGAAACATCATGGCAACAAATGACAATGAAAACACAACAATCCAAAATCTATGGGACACAGCAAAAGCAGTCTTGAGAGGGAAGTTCATAGCTCCACAGGCCTATCTCAAAAAACAAGAAAAGATAGTAATAAATTATCTAACCCTGCAACTCAAAGAGTTAGAAAGAGAGCAACAAGAAAAGCCCAGTGTAAGCAAAAGGAATGAAATAATAAAGATCAGAGAAGAGATAAATGACATAGAGACAAAAAAAAAAAAAACAAAAACCAATACAAAAGATCAACAAAACCAAGTGCTGGTTCTTTGAAAGGATAAACAAGCTTGATGACCCTCTAACCAGGCTCACCAAGAAGCAAAGAGAGAGAACCCAAATAAACAAAATCAGAAATGAAAGAGGCAAAGTAACAATTGATCCCACAGAAATATATATGATTTCACTTTGTCCCATAGATTTTGGATATGAACAACTCTATTCCAACAAAATGGACAACCTAGATGAAATGGACATACTCTTAGGAAAATACAAGCTCCCAAAACTCAATAAAGAATCCAAAAAACCTGAATAGGCTGATAACTACCAAAGAAATTGAAGCAGTGACCAAAAATCTTCCAGCAAACAAAAGCCCGGTCTGGACTATTTCAGAAAATTCAAGAGGAAGGAACACTTACAAGCTCTTTCTATGAAGCCAGCATTACCCTAATCCCAAAACCAGATAAAGACACCACAAAAAAAGAGAACTACAGGCCAATTTCCTTGATGAACATAGATGCTAAAATCCTCAACAAAATTCTAGCAAATCGAATTCAGCATTACATTAGAAAGATCATACACCATGACCAAATGGGATTTATTCTTGGGAGGCAAGGATGGTACAATATCTGCAAATCAATAAATGTGATACATCACATAACAAACTGAGAGACAAAAATCACATAATCGTATCAATTGATGCAGACAAAGCATTTGACAAAATCCAACACCCTTTCTTGATAAAAACTCTCAGCAAAGTGGGAATAGAGGGATCATACCTCAACATAATAAAAGCCTTATATGAAAAACCTACATCCAGCATCATATTCAATGGTCAAAAACTAAACTCATTTCCCCTAAGAATGGGAACAAGACAGGAATGCCCACTTTCACCACTCCTGTTTGATACAGTACTGGAAGTGCTAGCCATAGCGATCAGACAAGAAGAAGAAATAAAAAGGCATTCAAATTGGAAAGGAAGAAGTAAAACTGTCCTTATTCACTGATGACATGATACTATACATAGAAAACCCCAAAGACTCCATAAAAAAACTACTGGACCTAATAAGTGAATTTGGCAAAGTAGCAGGATACAAAATTAACACCCAGAAATATATGGCCTTTTTATACACTAATAATGAACTCACAGAAAGAGAAGCAAAAAAACAAACAAACAAACGAACACACACACACACACACACAAAACAAAACAAAACAAAACAAAACAAAACAAAACGAAAAACCAATCCCATTTACCATTGCACCAAAAAAATTAAGATACCTAGGAATAAATTTAACTAAGGAATAAAAGACCTTTACTCAGAAAACTACGGGGCATTGAAAAAAGAGATAAAAGAAGACATGAACAAATGGAAGAATATACCATGTTTATCGATTTGTAGAATCAACATCATTAAAACGTCCATACTATCCAAAGCAATCTATAAATTCAATTCAATCCCCATTAAAATATCAACGGCATACTTCAAAGACCTAGAACAAACTCTCCAAAAATTTATATGGAATTAAAAAAAGACCCTGAATAGCTGCAGCAATCTTGAGAAAGAAGAACAATGTAGAGGGATCACAATACCAGATATCAAGCTATACTACAAAGCCACTGTTCTCAAAACTGCCTGGTATTGGCACCAGAACAGACAAATAGACCAGTGGAACAGAACAGAGAACCCAGAAATTGACACAAGCCAGTATGCTCAATTAATATTTCACAAAGGAGGCAAGAGCATACAATGGAGACAAGACAGTCTCTTCAATAAATGGTGTTGGGAAAACTGGACAGATATTTGCAAAAAAATAAAACTAGACCACCAACTTACACCATACACAAAAATAAACTCAAAATGAATAAAGGACTTAAATATAAGATGGGAAACCATAAAAATCTTAGAAGAAGCCATAGGCAGCAAAATAGCAGACATTTGTTGTAGCAATATCTTACCAATACAGCTCCTAGAGCAATGGAAACTAAAGAGAAAATAAACAAATGGGACTACATCAAAATAAAAAGCTTCTGCACAGCAAGAAACCATCAACAAAACAAGAAAGCCTGCTGCATGGGAGAATATATTTGCCAATGTTATCTCTGATAAGGGTTTAATCTCCAACATTTTCAGGGAACTCAATCCAATCAAAAAATGGGCAAAGGACCTAAAAGTCACTTTTTGAAAGAGGACATTCAGAAATCCAAGAGACATATGAAAACATGCTCAAAGTCACTAATCATCCGAGAGATGCAAATCAAAACAACAATGAGGTACCATCTCACAGCTGTCAGAATGGCTATCATCAACAAATCAACAAACGACAAGTGCTGGAGAGGATGTGGAGAAAAAGGAACCCTCCTGCGCTGCTGATGGGAATGCAGACTGGTGCTTCCACTGTGGAAGACAGTATGGAGTTTCCTCAAAAAGTTAAAAATGGAACTCCCATTTGACCCAGTAATCCCACTTCTAGGACTATATCCTAAGAAATCAGAAACATCAATCAGAAAGGATATATGCACCCCTCTGTTCATAGCAGCACAATTTACCATAGCTAAGATGTGGAAACAGCCTAAATGTCCATCAGCAGATGAATGGATTAGAAAACGGTGGTACATCTACACGATGGAATACTATGCTGCTGTAAAAAGGAAGGAATTCTTACCATTTACAACAGCATGGATGGAACTGGAGAGCATTATGCTAAGTGAAATAAGCCAGTCAATGAAAGAAAAATACCACATGATCTCACTCATTTATGGATAATAATGAACATTATAAACTGATGAACAAAAATAGATACAGATGGAGAGCAGCATCGAACAGACTGTCAAACTACTACAGCGGGAAGGCTGGGGAGGGTTGGGGGAAGGTAAGAGATCAACTGAAGGACTTGTATGCATGCATATAAGCATAACCAATGGACACAAGATACTTGGGGGGAAGGGAGGCCGGGGGAAGGAGACATATGTACTACTCTGTAATACTTTAAGCAATAAAATAAAATTTAAAAAATTTAAAAATAAAATATATGTATATAAGTAAAAAACAAAACAAAAGAAAAAGTTTCATGTTTAATATTAAATGGCTAACCTCAAAGGAAACGTAAAAAAAGCTTTGCTAAAAATAAAAGAACTTCTAATGTAATATGCATAACATTTAAGTATAAGGAACTTAACCAGTGAGCCACTTTCTATGAATTTTACCAAAATTGGTAATGTTATTTTATAATGGATTTTACTATAAAAATGGTAAAAATGATGCAAGGAGGTCACAGTGTTTCAGTGTTTTATCTCAAAGTACAATTTCTCTTCTGTTAAGCTATTGAGACCATTAGCAATTGATAGCTATTAGGGTTTGATAAAAAGAAGGTACAGAGGTATGAAAACTCATATGAAAAATATTTGAAAGAGCTTTGAAAATTATAAAGCACTACCCCTAAATGTAGTATTCATAATTTAGTTTACATTTATATTACAGTATATTTCAGTGTTTTTTAATGTACTTCTCTTTAAACCCAAAATTCACCATAAAATATAATTCTGGGCTTAGAAATGACCTATAGCAGTGGTCGGCAAACTGCGGCTCGTGAGCCACATGCGGCTCTTTGGCCCCTTGAGTGTGGCTCTTCCACAAAATACCGACTTCTGCGCATGGGCCACGAAGTTTCAATCGCACTGTACGTGCGTGCCCGCATGTGGTATTTTGTGGAAGAGCCACACTCAAGGGGCCAAAGAGCCGCATGTGGCTCGTGAGCCGCAGTTTGCCGACCACTGAATAGGATACCTAAGAATGTTAGTTACAAATGATAGTTATCAGAGGTAAATATTTTTAAGTTTACATGTGTGTGTCACAATATTAGTACATGTACACATATACATAGATGCATCTCACAGAAGGGATGTGCAATGATGTCTGTAATTTACTCTGAAAAGTATAAAAAATCAGATAGGTCTATGGATGAACATATAAATATGTAGTAATACAAGTATAGTAAAATGTTAGTAGAAATGAGGTGGGCAAATATATATATATATATATACATATATATATATATATAGATGTTTTCTGTAAAAATTTTCAACTTTGCTGAATATTTAAAATTTTTTATAATAAAATGTTAGAAAAACATTGTCATGTTATACAGTATAAACAATGAAAAATACCAGTCAATGTCGTATTACTTTGTTCTTCTTACTATTTCACTTAGGATGATAGATATGTAATATGACATGTTACTATCTCACTTAGGATGATAGATATGTAATATGCCATATAACTCAAAGACTGGAAAGTATAAGTTCCTAAAATTTAAAGCATATATGCATAAACCTTCAAAGTTCCACTGATAATTAATCTCTGCTTTTAAAATGTGCTAAACCATAAAATCAAAAGACATGTTTCAAAGAACTGGTATTCCTTTAAAGAAGATTACCAAAAACAGGTCGCTTTCTCTGCAAGGTAAATGTGCTAAAAATTATAAATATGAATGAAAAAATTAGAGCATTAAATAAGACTAGTATGAAGGAGGTCAAACTGGATGAAGTGGTTCTTCCTGTGATAGGAAAAGTAAGATTCAAAAGCAGTTAAAAAAATAAAAATGCCTCACGAAAATTCCTAGATCAAGGATAAATATAAAAAAGGAAGTAATTTTGCCCTAGGCTAAAAGAAATTTTGTCCTTCAGTTATCTGAAAGAAATACAACTAAACGGGCCCAAATGTCAAACTCCTAAAATACAAGAAAGCTTTTCAACATGATAATCTGTCTTTGCTCTTTGTAGAAAGTATGAAACTTGCTTACCTAAGATGGCACAGAAAAATAAAGATACAATAGTTATATCTGTAGCATCCCAATTTTCAAACATTAACATATTTACATACCTAATATTATTTTTAAGAACTTTTGAGCAACTGAAGCATTTAAAGGTTGTGTAAGTCTTTTCTTCATTGTCAACATCTCCTTCATGTTTTCCATAGTAAAAGTCACTAACTAACATGATCAGTTTTTCTTTCTCTGCACCGGTCTTAGTTTTCTTTTCAGTACTTGAAATTTCTACTTTAATCATCTCCAAAAATTTATTTATCATGCCTGGACAACAACGCTGAAAGAGGAAAAAAAAAATAAGCCACTATGAGTTTAAGCCTGAGTGTTGAAAATTAAAATGCAAGACTAAGATTTTTCATTAAGTAATGTGACTGACATACATGTCACCATGGACAAAAAATAAGGTATAAAGGGGAATTTTAAAATTACATGTAAGATTAAACACCTAATAAAATATTCTGATTAATACATTATCTTCATTAAAAATTAAAATATAATGTACATATGCTGTAGTGCATATAAACTTAATTTTTAAATTTGATGCTTCATAAGGATTTTTAAATCTTGTATGAAGATAATCATTATGAATATCAATTTTTACCGAAGTTATGTGAAAATACCAATGAGGAGATTTCTTACCTAAATGTCTGGAGAAATTAGCATTTACCACATATCAATTCTTAATATTTTCAGAGATTTTTTGGATATTTCTAAAAATCAAATTTTGAAAAAGTTTTTACCTTCATGTGATATTTCAAAGCATCCAAATTATTGAACTGAACATTGCACTTTGGACAAGATCTTTGAAAAGGGTTTCCAGTTTTATGTTCAGTTGATGAGGTACCTAAAATAAATTAAGGATTATTATTATTACTCAATTTTTTTCTTTTTTAAATCTTAAACAACCAGTAATAATAGTTTTAAAATTTATCACAATTTCTAAAATTTAAATATAATTTCTTTTTTATATGCCACATTCATATTTACCTTTTGATGTCATAATTGAGGAGGATGTCACTGAAGGAGAGCTGTCTAAAGATAATGTAGCACATGAACCTATTTCAGAAACATCGTCACTGGTCTTTGGCTTTTTTGGATGAACTCTGTTTGCTATAATACTAGGACGTTTTCTTATAGGCAGAGTTTCACCTACAGCTACAATTTAAATAGTGAAAAAGATATTTGTAAATGCTTTAGTATATAATAGAACACTGCTTAAAAATGCTAATAAAACGATCTTACCTTTAAAATTAAGTAAAAGTACTTCAGAGCTAAATTAAAGGTAATACAATTAAATTACCATATCATACAAATGACAATAAAGAATGATAAAAATTTATATGATAAATAGGTACAAAAAATTGCACAGCCAGCCAGCATGGCTCAGTGGTTGAGCATCGACCTATGAACCAGGAGGTCATAGCTTGATTCCCAGCCAGGGCACATGCCTAGGTTGTGGGCTTGATCCCCAGTATGGGGTATGCAGGAGGCAGCCAATCAATGATTTTCTCTCATTTCTGATGTTTCATCTCTCCCTCTCTAGTCCTCTCTAAAATCAATAAAAACATATACATATACATACGCATATATATATATATATTTGTTAATTCTCAACTGAGGATATTTTCCCATTGATTAGAGTCTAATCTATGTGGTTCTCAACCTTCCTATTGCTGCGACCCTTTAATACAGATCCTCATGTTGTGGTGAGCCCCAACCATAAAATTATTTTCGTTGCTACATCATAACTGTAATTTTGCTACCGTTATGAATCGTAATGTAAATATCTGATATGCTATATGTGTTTTCCGATGGTCGCGACCCACAGGTTGAGAACCGCTGGGAGAGAAACATCAATATGTTTCTCTCACATTGATTGATTGCCTCCTGCATGCACCTCGACAAGGGCCCTGGCTGGGGAGGAGCTTGCAATCAAGGTACATGCCCTGACTGGAATCGAACCCAGGACCCTTCTGTCTACAGGACGACGCTCTATCCACTGAGCCAAACTGACCAGGGCAATAAAAACAGTTTTGTATTTTCAAAGAAATTGCACAAGCAGCTATTACGGAGTACACATATTTAAACTCATGAAATAAACTAATACAAAATATGCTAAAGATGCTTTCGAATAAAGTGGTAGTATAAAAAAGTCAGACCAAAACAATCCCCAGAAAAAACTTAAACCACAGAGAATACTCTAAGCTCAGTTCCAAATATGAATTTATTTTTAGATGTGTCAATACATTTGAGCTTGTAAGTAAAAACAATTTCTATTCTAAAAATTAGAGAAACGCTTTAAGATACTTAAAAACTTAAGATGTCTAATGGAAAACTCAAGTTGGTTCTTTTCCCACTTAAGTTGACAGGTAGTTTAAATAATCTGTTTATTCCCTTTAGTCTAATGGTTCTGTCTTAGGGAATATAGTGGGCATGTCATATCACAATTTCTAAAATTTATATATAATTTCTTTTTTATATGCCACATTCATATTTACCTTTTGATGTCATAATTGAGGAGGATGTCACTGAAGGAGAGCTGTCTAAAGATAATGTAGCACATGAATCTCCAGGAATTACTGGAGATTCAGATAAAGAAACCCTTTAACCTTTTTAAAAAATTAGACTTTTAAATAAAATTTTGTTAAATAGAGATTTCATTGCTAAAAAGTTTTGAGTTTGAAAACCATCACCTTAAAGGCTAAAAGATTACGCAATTCAGCGCATTTGCAAGAGAGGTTGGGTTATTTAGGCTATAACCAGATCTAGCAAAAGTCCTTTTGAAAATAACACACAATTGTACTTTGTAATAAAAATTCTAAGACTTCACATTATATTTTAATGTTCCCAACTGTACACTAAAGGAGAAGTAGTAGCATAAATACATTAATGGGTTCCTCTGTCAAATCTGTGTTTCATTCTTTGAGATAACATAGAAATGATTTTTTACATTTTCAAGCACATAATTACTGACAGCAATACTGCAAACACTTGGGACTGACTTTTTTGTAATCACACTAACATTCTTCTCAGATGCTTAGGTTATTTGAACAACTGATGATTGCTGGTGTTTTGGACTAGGCCACTGATTATCTAGCAGGCTGGATAGCAAAAATATACTTTTATATATAATTTTTTGAAGTATGAGTAAATCTCCAAGTTAAATAAAATTATTTTGAGCTCAATAGTTTTAAATTCTGACTCTTTAACTTATTTATATCTGTTGCCTCTGCCTTGTTCACTATCCTCATTCTGCAAAATCAAATTCAAATCCAAACTTCTCCAAGAACCTTCTACAATCATCCTAGACAGAAGTCCAGTAATCTTTTCTTCTGGATAGCATATATAAGCATTCATAATTATCATGTTAACAACTGTTTATTATCAAGTCCTTTAAGACTTTAATGTATTTCTCACTTATCTCATTTGAGCCTCAAAAAAGCTCTGAGATAAGTAGAGCAACAATTAAAATTATATCTCCAAACAACTGATTTCAGGTCTGAAGAATGAATGCATTATGTGAGAAAAACAAAAACATCTATTTTAGTATTATGAGAAAATTAGGTGTAAAGAAGTTAATTATAAAGACCACAGAAATCTTTAGAATAGACTGAAACCTCTATCTTCCTAATTAACTATAATCCTATTTACTATTAGGGCAATATTCCAATCCTCATAGCACTACAATTATAGAGAGAGTAGGAGTCACTGTCTTTACCCTCTAGAACAGAGGTTCTTAACCTGTGGGTAGCGACCCCTTTGGGGGTTGAACGACTCTTTCACAGGGGTCGCCTAAGACCATCGGAAAACACATGTATAATTACATATTGTTTTTGTGATTAATCACTATGCTTTAATTATGTTCAATTTGTAACAATGAAAATACATCCTGCATATCAGATATTTACATTATGATTCATAACAGTAGCAAAATTACAGTTATGAAGTAGCAACAAAAATAATTTTATGGTTGGGGGTCACCACAACATGAGGAACTGTATTAAAAGGTCGTGGCATTAGGAAGGTTGAGAACCACTGCCCTAGAAGCTTCAAGAACTCAAGCTTTTTCTATGAAAAAAGACCATGCTATATAATAAAAGAGTAATATGCAAATAGACAGAACAACCAAACAATCAAAGTGTAATATGCTAATGATATGCTAAGGCTTCTCAACCACTCGCTATGATGTGCACTGACCACGAGGAGGGAGAAGCTCTGACCGGTAGGTTAGCTTGCTGCTGGGGTCTGCCAGATGGGGACTGAGTGAGATGGGCCAGACATGCCCTGGAGCCCTTCTGCGATCCCTCCCTGGCCCGATTGTGCACCGGGGGTGTTCTTCAGCCTGGCCTGCGCCCTCTAGCAATCCGGGACCCCTTGGGGGGGATGTAGGAGAGCCGGTTTCAGCCCGATCCCACAGGCCACTCCCTTTGGGAGGGCACCAGATGCAGTGCTTGCTCGCCTCTCGCAATCGGGACTGATTAGGCACGAGCCAGCAGCAGGCCCAGTGGGGCCAGAATGAGCGGGAGCAGCACGTAGGAGCCAGGTAGTGTTGGACTGTGGATTTCAGCCCGATCCCTGCAGGCCACCCAGAGGGACCCCACCCATGCACGAATTCGTGCACCGGGTCTCTAGTGTACTTTATAAAATCATATTTTAGACAAGTACTTTTTCTCCTCATTTATTTTGGATCTTGGCTATTTTACTAACTATATAAGTGACACCTAGATAGGTGACTATCAAGTCAAGTATTTTTTTTTTTTAAACATATTTTATTGATTTTTTACAGAGAGGAAGGGAGAGGGACAGAGAGTCAGAAACATCGATGAGAGAGAAACACCAATCAGCTGCCTCCTGCACACCTCCCACTGGGGATGCGCCCGCAACCAAGGCACATGCCCTTGACCGGAATCGAACCCGGGACCCCTCAGTCCGCAGGCCGACGCTCTATCCACTGAGCCAAACCGGTTAGGGCAAGTCAAGTATTTTTTAGAATGGGAAAATATTTTTTGGTACACATATTACTAAAAATTTCTTACTGTTTTGATTTGGTAAATGCATACTAATTTGTTAAGTAAACAATTTAAACATGCAAAAATTTCCAGTGTTCCTCTCTCCATTTAGTGAAATATATCAAATTTGCTAATATAGAAAGAGTAATTGATTTGATTATAAGGAATTTTCAACTTGACAAAATCCCTTCAAGTCATACTAGTTTACTTAACAACAACGAAGAACTTTGTTATGGTATACCATCAAAGAATGGTAATTCTTTTTCAATTAGAAATTTTCATTATTCCTTCAATGAGTATTTACTGAGTACTTATTATGTGCAAATCAATGTTTCTTTAGTACTGCCATTTTATAATACTACTCTATAATCATATTTAACTATCACTTCTACATAATTTATTTGGATAGAAAGACACTAACTAGTCTATGAAGAAATAAACTATAACCACACAATTTTTCTCATATTAATGACCTCCCAAATAATTAATATTTAAAAAATAACCATAGTATTAGGACACCAAGGGACTTCTCTGACTCACAGCCTATGGTGGGTCCAAGTGAGAATGAGCTGAAAGAATACATATTAGTCAACTTAATAAAAAAGAAATGAAATATTCTATTACTAAATACAATTTTATATAAAACCATCCAAGAAAAGCATCAGAAACTATTAACTTCCATCTTACAATGTATGAAAAACTTAACACAAAGGTATGAGTTTCAAAATAGACATTCATTCTATATGTATATTAATCAGTTCTCTCTTTATTATATTTCTAAAAAGTGATAAGCCAAACCTTCTGTATAAACTTTTGATCCGCCTTGGGATGGTGGTATTGTGTCTTGGGTCAGGTCAAACAGTAAATCAGAAGAATCATCCATTTCAACTTGCGATGAACTCCTTATAAATGACTGTAAAAGTTATAATTATTTTATTTCATAAACATTTATAAAGGTAATTTTAACTGTATGCCACTACCATAAAAATAGCCTTAATGATTCAATGACTAATAAGTTATAAAACACAAAGGTAATTATTACTCTGTCAAATTAGCATCTACTGGATAAAGAATATATGTGAACTCTCTGGATTATTACAATTATTTTTCTGGAAATCTAAAATTAGTTTGAAATAAAAAGTTTAAATTAAAGCAATCATATTATTGGCAAAGTAGAGGTTATATTTTGGTAAACTTTCTGCAAGAAAATTTTGGCAGTATCTATTAAGGGCTTTAAAAAGTTCATATCCTTTGATCCAATTATTTCAAATATTCTGCTTTCATGAATTTATGCTAAGGAAATGAAAATATTTAATGGAAAATTATTTGTTATAGCAAAAAATCAAAACCTGTATGTCCAACAATGGAGGAATGGTTAAATAAATTTAATGACATATTATCATGCAACATTAACCAATGACAAAGAAAAATGTTTCCAATATAAATTTCAGTGAAAAAAGAACAGATATGTGTATAAAATATAATCCTAATTGATTATTATTCTATATACCACACTAACCATTTGCAGAAACAATAGCAAAATACGCTTGCATTCTCTTCTGTTTCTTTTCTACCTCCCATATATATTACCTTTAAAATGGGAATATAAGAATCTTGAGTGTTTTGTGCTTAAAATTGAGACACAGTCAGGTTTTAAGAATCTTACTTTGCTCCTAAGTTTTCTGTTGACATAGGTTTCTTAAGTAATGGAGACAGATATTGAAGTGACCCAAGCCATTCCATTCCTAAACTTTGAGGCATAGCAGGCAGATTTCTGCATTTGAGTCTTAATGTGTATTATATAAAATCAGCAATGACTTTAGACTTAACTGTAACCAAGCACAATATTACTGCAAGATAATTTTTTTTTCAAAATATCTGCCCTTAGAAATGGAAAATATTCATTAGCAATGGTCCAAAATAGTTCTTCAACAGAAGTTCCTCCAATTACAGTTAATACTTTAAACCCTTTCCTAGGTGATGACTCCAGTCAATTAAGTACCACCATTTCAAAGAGCGGACACATTATTCAACAAATAACATGTTAAAATAATTCTCCAATTGGGAATTACTGGAAATTCAGAAGACCTTTCCATTTATTTAACTATGAAACCTTGGGCAAGTCACTTCTAAGGTTCAAGTTATTCAACTTTCCAACTGAAATGAGAGCCACCAATTATTGTCTATTTAAAATGTACTTGCCTCTGTCACAGTACATGTATTCTACCAAGTAGTCGTCATAACAGTACTAATAAAGACCTAATATTATCTCTTATTTTATAAATAGGTAAGCTTAAGTATGGTTAAGCAAGGTTACCAGTACAACCCAGCTCTGGAAAACACCTTGATTGCAGCTTCATGAGACCTTGAAGCAGAGGACCCAGTTAAGCCATGCCATGCCTCCTGACTCACAGAAATCATGAGATAATAAGTGTATATTGCTTTAAACTTCTAAGTCTATGGTACTAGTGTTATGCAACAATAAATAATTAATATATGTGCTTTGTAAGTCTTTCTTTAAAGTAAAAATGGCATTCCATTAAATAATAATAAAAAAAAGACAACGGGCCCAGCTGGCATGGCTCATTGGTTGAGCATCGACCTATGGATCAGAAGGTCACGGTTCGATTCCCAGTCAGGGCACATGCCTGGGTTGCAGGCTCAGTCCCCAGGAGGGGACATGTAGGAGGCAGCCGAACAATGATTGTCTCTCATCATTGATGTTTATACCTCTCCCTCTCCCTTCCTCTCTGAAATCAATAAAAATAGCATAGTTTTCAATATTATACCTATCCTATATAATAAAACCCTAATATGCAAAGCGACTGAATGGCAGAATGACCCATCACTATGACGTGCACTGACCACCAGGGGGCAGACGCTCAATGCAGGAGCTGCCCCCTGATGGTAAGTGCACTCCCACAGGGGAGCGCAGCTCAGCCAGAAGCCGGGCTCAGGGCTGGCAAGCACAGCCGTGGTGGTGGGAGCCTCTCCTCCGCAGCAGCACTAAGGACCTCCTGGGGGATGTCCACCTGCCAGCTTAGGCCCACTACCTGGCTTAAGCCAGCAGGTGGACATCCCCCGAGGGGTCCCGGACTGCAAGAGGGCACAGGCCAGCCTGATGGACATTCCCCACTCCCCAGTACACAATGTCGTGCTCTGGGCCTCTAGTTTAAATATAATTACCTGATTTATTAACAGGTTGGATAGTTAGTTCCTGCAGTTATTACTTTGAGTATTGGTTGAACTATCATAAAGATGGTGATATTTTCTCATAGTGATTATGCTTCTACCAAAATGGTGACTAGCTATGATAGTCCATAATCCTAACTGGGTATTATAATATCCAATATGTCCCTGAGCTAACTGTATAGTTTCAGAAATACTTACAGGTTTAGACACATTCTGAATAATAGAGCTTTGTGAAGGTTTAGATTGAGGATGAAATCTAGGTAAGGCAGCCACTGGATTTGATGTTGGGTCTTTGTAGTGTGGACTTGTAGGCTTGAATGCATCAGGAACACCTGTATTTTAAAATTACACAACACGTTGAATATTTTCCTCTACAACAAATTTTGTCAAAATATTTCACTTTAAAATTAATATAATATAATAATACTCTACCTTGATTGAGTACCTCATTCTTTATTGCCTTTGAAGACGAGCTGGAATTACCTCTGTTCAAAATATCTATAAAAATTACAGTTAAACAAATAAAATTAAAATGCACTCAGACACAGAGAACAGATTGGTGGTTGCCAGAGGGGAGGGGGTTTGGGGGACTGGGTGAAAGAGGTGAAAGGATTGAGAAGTACAGATTGGTAGTTACAAAATAGTCCTGGGAATATAAAGGACAGCATAGGAAATCTAGTAAATAATATTGCAGTAACTATGTATGGTGCCATGTGGGTACTGAAAATACTGGGGGGAACAATTTGTAAAGTGTATGATTGTCTAACCACTACACAGGATACCTAAAACCAATACAAAATAATATTGAAAGTAAAATGTAATTTAAAAATAAAAAATAAATTTATTTTAAATCTTATTTGACTTTAATAGATAATAATAGAACAAAGTTGTATATAGACTTAGGTTCCTGTGACTCAAGCCCTCCCCTAATACCCATGCCACATTCATACCCCTAAAAGTCTAGAAGTTTCATTATGGTTAAACTGACTGGATTATCTGTACCATTACTCCTGAGTTCTAAAAGGAACATTGTCAGAGACTGCAATGTAAATTGAACCCAGAATTTACCAGAGTATCTCAAATCTACTACTATACCAGAAGTAAATTTGTGGCTGACATGACCCTCTGGATCAGTTTAACGTTGCTCACTCTTGTATCCATGTGCAGCCATAAGTTGTAGGTTATTGAGGAATCAAATGAAAATTTGGAACAGTTGAGATTTGCCTAAAATTGCTAATCAGGAAAAGGTACAAGACATTAAAAAAAAGTCCCAAACTAAATCAAACTAAAAAGGTTTTGCATAACAAATGAAATCATCAACAAAATGAAAAGATAACCTACTGAATGGGAAAAAATATTCTCCAATGATACATCAGATAAGGGGTTACTATGCAAAATTCATAAAGAACTCATGCAACTCACCCTGACCAGTTTTTCTCAGTGGTTAGAGCGTCAGCCTTTAGACCTAGGGGTCTCGGGTTCGATTCCCAGTCAAGGGCATGTACCTTGGTTGCAGGTTCCCCAGCCCTGGTAGGGGCGCATGTGGGAGGCAACTAATAGATGTGTTTTTCTCACATCAGTCTCTCTCTCTCTCTCTCTTTCTCTCTTTCTCTCTCTCTCTCTCTCTCTCTCTCTCTCTCTCTCTCTCTCTCTCTCTTCCTCCTCCTCCCTCCTTCCACTCTCTCTAAAAATCAATGGAAAAAATATCCTCAGGTGAGAATTAAAAAAACGAACTCATACAACTTAACACCAAGAAAACAATCCAATTAAAAAATGGGCAGAGGAACTGAATAAATCTTCTCAAAAGAGGACATACAGATGGCCAAGACATATGAAAAGAAGCTCATGGTCACTAATCATCAGAGAAATACAAATTAAAACCACCTCACACCAGCAGAAGGACTATCATCCATAAATCAACAAACAAATTTTGGCGAGGATGTGTAGGAAAGGGAACCCTCATGCTCTGTCAGTGCAAATGCAAATTGGTGAAGCCACTAGGGAAAACAGTGTGGAATTTTCTCAAAAAATTAAAAATGGAACTGCCTCATGACCCAGTGATTCCACTTCTGGGACTGAAAAAATCTGAAACATTAAATTGAAAGAATATATGCAACCTTATGTTCATTGCAACATTACTTACAATAGCCAAGATATAGAAGCAACCCAAGTGCCCATCAATATATGAACGGATAAAAAAGGCTGTGGAACAGCTCTGACCAGTGTCACTCAGTGGTTAGAACATTGGCCCTTGCACCGAAGGGTCTTGGATTCAATTCCCGGTCAAGGGCACGTACCTGGCCTGCAGGTTTCATCCCTGGCCCTAGTTGGAGCAGGTGTGGGAGGCAACAATCAATGTGTCTCTCATGCATCAATGTTTCTCTCCTCGCCTCTCCTTCCTCCCTCCCTTCCACACTCTCTAAAAACCAATGGGAAAAAAATCCTCAGGTGAGGATTAACAAGACAAAACAAAAAGGCTGTGGTACATATATACAATGAAATATTACTTGGCCATAAAAAAAGAATGATGTGTGAGAGAGACACATTGATAGGTTGGCTCCTGAACATAAGGTGTCCCCACTGGGGCCAAAGAGTGAATCTGCAACCCAGGTACATGCCCTTGACCAGGAATTGAACCTACTACCCTTCAGTGTGCAGACCAGTGCTCTAACCATTGATAACACTGGCCAGGGCCATGCCTAGTTCATTTTATACTTAAAGTGGCACTCCACTAGCACCTTTCAATTTGCCACAAGAAATAAATTTGAGAATTAAATAAATTATTCGACCTCTGATGAAACTAAATAGAAGTACTATTCCAAGTTTAGAATCAAGAGAAGAACTAGGCTTTCAGAAAATAAAAACTTGTCTCTCAACCATACTATTAGGCATTGCCATGGTAAGTAAGAAAATACTGGCATGCTGGCTACATTCTTTTGTAAATTCTCCTTGCTTAAAAAAGTAACTATAATGAGAAAGAATCTGTTTCCTCTTTCTCCCTTGATAGTCAGTATGTTGTTCCCCTACACTTTACACATTATTGGACATTTAAAGAAATGTCATCAATATCTTCTCTTTAACATTATAACAATGATAAGTCTAATTACTGTGAATGAAATCTAATAATCCACAATGGTACTGGTCACATTCTGCTAGAAAGGTATGAGGATTAAGTGTGCTGACTACCTGTATCATCCAAGTACATAGGCTGAAGACCATGCCCTCCTCCTTCATGAATATAATCAGGAGTTGCTGGAAGATGGCTGTGCTCAGAAGCTACAGTCCATGTTGATACACAGACCAGAGATTGTATAATCATGCAGTGTCTGTTCATTTTGTAGCCATGAATCAAGATGACACTGTGATATGAGAACCCTCTCAGAGACTAACACAAACTTATTTAGTATTCTGGTATTTTAAACAAAGCAGTCCAAACACTTCCTTTTCTAGGTACATTTGGGCTTTAGGGGGAAAAAGAAAAATTAACAAAAAAAACCCACAGGTAAATAGGCTACTTGGTTCCACTAAAAATTATGATTTCCAATCTCAGAAGGCTTACAATACTATTAGGTACAAGTCCCAACCACATTCTCCCTCTGATTCTCACAAATTCTTAATGACCTCTATGCTCCTTCTTACCTTATAGAGCAGCGGTTCTCAACCTGTGGGTCTCGACCCCTTTGGTGGTCTAACGATCTTTTCACAGGGGTCCCCTAAGACCTTCCTGCATATCAGATATTTACATTACGATTCATAACAGTAGCAACATTACAGTTATGAAGTAGCAACGAAAATAATTTTATGGTTGGGTCACAACATGAGGAACTGTATTTAAAGGGCCAGAAGGTTGAGAACCACTGTTATAGAGTAACAAGGACATATAAGACAGCACACAGGTTTTTCCATTAGAAACATCTTAGAGGAGAACCAAGATGGCGGCATAGGTTAACGCCGGAGTTTGCTGCTTTGAACAACTACTTCAAAAGTGAAACCAAAAAACGGAAGGGACATCACCCAGAACCACAGGAACGCTGGCTGAGTGGAAATCCTACAACTAGGAGGAAAGAGAAACGCATACGGACACTCAGAGGCGGCGCAGTGCTGAAGTCAAATTCTGAGGTGCGGAGTGCGCGGAGCGGGCTGGCAGCGGAGGGCGCGGTTGGCGTTTTCAATCGGGAGGGAGTCGCAGAATCTGAGCTCCAGATCCGGGCGAGTCTTTAGGGACCCAGACTCAAACGGGAGAAGCCGGACGGTCTGGCTTCGGTCAGAGCGAGTGCAGCTTTCTCTCTGAGCTTTGCAGCGGGTGCTGGGACTCAGAGAGGCAGAGCCCCTGGGGACAGGACTGAGAGCCGCCATAACTGCTCTCTCCGGCCCACCCTGTTGATCCTGTTCGACCCGCCCCGCCCAAGCTCTGCACAGAGGCATTTGCCGGATAGCCTCAGGCAAAGGCTAGATTAGCACCTCCCTAGAGGACAGAAGTTCTCTCACTGCTGACACAGCTGATTCTCATAGCCACTTGGCCTGGAGGTCAAACCCTCCCTGGAATTAGCTACAACAATCAAGATTTAACTATAAGACTTCGCACAAAGACCACTAGGGGGTGCACCAAGGAAGCATAACAAAATGCGGAGACAAAGAAACAGGACAAAATTGTCAATGGAAGATATAGAGTTCAGAACCACACTTTTAAGGTCTCTCAAGAACTGTTTAGAAGCCGCCGATAAACTTAATGAGATCTACAAGAAAACTAATGAGACCCTCGATCTTATATTGGGGAACCAACTAGAAATTAAGCATACACGGACTGAAATAACGAATATTATACAGACTCCCGACAGCAGACCAGAGGAGCGCAAGAATCAAGTCAATGATTTGAAATGCGAGGAAGCAAAAAACACCCAACCGGAAAAGCAAAATGAAAAAAGAATCCAAAAATGCGAGGATAGTGTAAGGAGCCTCTGGGACAGCTTCAAGCGTACCAACATCAGAATTATAGGGGTGCCAGAAGATGAGAGAGAGCAAGATATTGAAAACCTATTTGAAGAAATAATGACAGAAAACTTCCCCCACCTGGTGAAAGAAATGGACTTACAGGTCCAAGAAGCGCGGAGAACCCCAAACAAAAGGAATCCAAAGAGGACCACACCAAGACACATCATAATTAAAATGCCAAGAGCAAAAGTTAAAGAGAGAATCTTAAAAACAGCAAGAGAAAGAAACTCAGTTACCTACAAGGGAATACCCATACGACTGTCAGCTGATTTCTCAACAGAAACTTTGCAGGCCAGAAGGGAGTGGCAAGAAATATTCAAAGTGATGAATACCAAGAACCTACAACCAAGATTACTTTATCCAGCAAAGCTATCATTCAGAATTGAAGGTCAGATAAAGAGCTTCACAGATAAGGAAAAGCTAAAGGAGTTCATCACCACCAAACCAGGATTATATGAAATGCTGAAAGGTATCCTTTAAGAAGAGGAAGAGGAAGAAAAAGGTAAAGATACAAATTATGAACAACAAATATGCATCTATCAACAAGTGAATCTAAGAATCAAATGAATAAATAATCTGATGAACAGAATGAACTGTTGATTATAATAGAATCAGGGACATAGAAAGGGAATGGACTGACTATTCCTGGGGGGGAAAGGGGTGTGGGAGATGCGGGAAGAGACTGGACAAAAATCGTGCACCTATGGATGAGGACAGTGGGTGGGGAGTGAGGGCGGAGGGTGGGGCGGGAACTGGGAGGAGGGGAGTTATGGGGGGAAAAAAAAGAGGAACAAATGTAATAATCTGAACAATAAAGATTTAATTAAAAAAAAAAAGAAACATCTTAGAAAACTTTACCGAAAGTAAATGCTTACTTGAAATGGCTGGTTTTGAACTTGATATCTCTCCAACAAAGATCAGCTCATCATCATCCTCATCCTGCTTTTCTTCTACTTTCTTCTGCCATGGTTCCAGTTCTTCTTCTTCACATTCCATAAAGAGTTCTGCCATTTTTGAATTACCTAATTTTCAAAAGGAGAGAAGCAAATCTTATTTTTAAAATACTTTTTGCAACACAAAGTATGATATTTAACGTGTGCTTTGATAATCCTAATAGCAATTACTGAACTGATATTTGTAATCAGTAAATAGTAGCAAAATTAAGAAACTTGAAATTCAATCTCTAATATCTGAACTAGTAAAATTATGCTAGCTGGATAAATAATGGATGACAATAGCTATTTACAGTGACCAACAGATTTTAGGAACATTCAAATCCAATCAAACTGAGTTTTAGTTTTATAACTAGAATATGATTATATCTATGAAAAGGACTGTCTGTACCTATTATCTTAACCCCCACCAAACTCCTACATTAACAAAAAGGGAGATAAGCAAAGAATAAGAGGCAACAGGTGGGAGATATAATAGAAAAACTGGACCAGATTGAGGGATACTAGGCACAGAGCAAAGCAGGAATGTGGTGCTACAATGAAAATAGAGAATACTAAGCGAGGCTTATTCCATCTTAGAATAGATCTAGATATTTCTCACATGAAGAAACTAAGCAAAGAGCATACTATGAATACCACCAAGCTACAAGTGCTGACAGAGCAAGTGATCATTTTGGTGCCTCATTCTTAGTAAGGATGTACAACTAATGATCATCAGAAATATGTCTAAAACTTCCAATGTGAAAGATAAAAACAATAAAACAGAATAAAGTATCTCAAAGGAAACTGAGACAATATATATGGCAGGAAAAAAATTAGAGAGAATATAATTAACATTTTTAGAGAGATAAGACAAGAAAGCTATTACAAGTAACATTCAGAAAACAAAAAGATTATAATCATATAGCCAAAATGCAGTAAAAAATCAAATGCCAAAGTTGAGTAAACATCCCATAAGTGGAACTAAAATATATATACAGAGGTGAGCAAAAGTGGGATTACAGTTGTTTGTATGGAAAATAACATAATAAATAGTAATACAAGAATAAACTATTCTGTGTACTCACAACTGTAAACCTATTTTTGCCCACCGTGTGTGTTGGCAAATCAATTTCAAAGTTACAACTCACCTAATAAAAGCTCCAGAAAAAGAAAAAAAGGAAAAAGGAGAGGGAATATAATCAAATGAAAAAATACAAGATAATTTCCCAGTTCTTAAGGATATAAATCTCCAGATAGAAAGGGTTCACCAGCATCTAGCTAGCATAATAATTAAGAAAAGAAACATACAATTGAGGGACATATTGTGAAATTTCAGAATGCTGGAGATAAGGGAATATTGTGACATCTGAGAGAATGAGAGTGGAAAGAGAGAAGTTAGAATACTGTTTTCACAAGTCTTAGTAAAAATAAATTTCAATTTAGAATTGTATAACCAGCCAAGATTTTCATTAAGTATAAGGTACATATTTTCATCAAGAATAAAGGCAAGAAACATTAGACAAAATTTACCCCCATTCATCTGTTCTTCTTAGAATGAATCCACCAAAATATGACACTTAAGAAAGAGGAGCCGTGGCCAGGTGGCTCAGTTGGCTGGAGCACTGTCCGTACTCCAAAAAGATTTAGGTTCAATTCCCAGTTGGGGCGCTTACTGGAGGCAATCGATGGATGTTTCTCATTTCTCACATCAATGTTTCTCTCTCTTTCTCTCTCTCTAAAATAAACATATCAGCCCTGACTGGCTTGGCTCAGTGGACAGAGTGTCGGCCTGTGGATTGAAGAGTCCCAAGTTCGATCCTGGTCAAGGGCATGTACCTTGGTTGCGGGCATATCCCCAGTAGGGGTTGTGCAAGAGGCAGCTGATTGATGTTTCTCATTGATGTTTCTAACTCTCTATCCCTCTCCCTTCCTTTCTGTAAAAAATCAATAAAATATATTTTAAAAAATAAATAAAATAAACATATCCTTGGATGAAAATTTAAAAAAGAAAAAGGGCCTGGCCGGTGTGGCTCAGTGGTTGAGCATCAACCTATGAACCAGGAGGTCACGGTTTGATTCTGGGTCAGGGCACATGTTTGGGTTGCGGGCTCAATCTCCATTGTGGGGCGTGCAAGGGGTAGCCGATCAATGATTCTCTCTCATCATTGATGTTTCTGTCTCTCTCTCCCTCTCCCTTTCTCTCTGAAATCAATAAAAATATATTTTTTAAAAAAGAAAAGAAAAAGGAGGAAGACCAGGATGCAGAAAACACGATATTTAACACAATACAAAGACAAAAGAAAGTCCCAGGACAATAGCTGATCAACAGGTCTAGAGAGTAACCAGGCAATGTAGAGCAGGAGAACATTATTCCCAGGAGGAATGTCTCCAGGAGAAAACACACACACACACACACACACACACACACACACACACACACAATTAAATTGATAGATTACAAGTTTTACCATGTAGAAAGTTGAGTTAAGAGGCTATAGAAGGGTGTGAGATGACTTGGCTAGAGACCTTAACTAAATTTAGCAAATTTAAAAAAATAAAAAATTTAAATTGATGGCTATATTTTTTAAAACAGAAAAAAGTAAATGTATCTATAACATATAATACCATAGTACTATGCTCACCAAGGAACAAATTTAGTAAGGTCATCATAATAAAAACATCAAATAGGATTTAACCAAAAACTGAGCTATAACTACAATGGGAGATGCTTGGAGGGAAGGATAATATAAGAAACCTAAAATCTTCATAGTACTTAATAGGAAATCATTAGATAATCACAAAAACTTATGACTCAAGAGACAACATTATGTATATGTGTGCTTTAAAATTTTATAAATATGGAAGTGATGATTAGAAAAACAGCTAAACTAATAATAGCGGGTGCCTTGAAAAAAACATGGGCGTATACAGACCCAAAACACATGCATACCCATGTGCACAACCCTTTCTCTTGTTCTTTTACATCCTTCGGAAACAATGGTTATTAAATTTATAACGTTCAGATTATCTGCCTTTTTAAAACTATGCATGTACTAGTATTGTTCTGGTTTAAAAAGTTTTGAAGGAATAATTAATATAATGGCAATATGGATGGATAGAAAGGGTGCTAGATATGTGGAGTGAGACGTGGATAGGGAACAACTAAACAATAAAATTAAAGCAAAAGAAAATAATTACAAGGTTCTGGTTTAGACAATGATATCTTTTTTAAAGACAATTATATATGTACTTCATCTTTAAATGCAGTAATTTCTAAAGGTAATATTACTATGTTAAAATAATGTCATTTCTACTTTTAACTCAAAATTAAAAGGTACTATGTAGCTCTGGCCGGTACTCTCAGTAGTCAGAGTATTGACCCAAGCACCAAAGGGTTGTGGGTTTGGTTCCAGGTCAAAAGAAGGTACCTGGGTTGCAAGTTCGATCCAGGTTGGGGTGCATGCGGGAGGCAGCCAATCAATGTTTCTTTCTCTCTCTACGCCCCTCCCCCCACACCCTCCTTCCCTCCCTCTCACTCTCTAAAAATTCAATGGAAAAAATATCCTCAGGTGAGAATTAACAACAATAAAAAAGGTGCTATGTAAATATGATTTGGGGAGTGCATATAAAAGAAACACCTTAACGTATTGGTGTTATTTTTAAAAATCTTTAATATAATTTCCCCTTTTATACAGGTATGCCAAAATCATTTCTTGGCATAAAGTTACTTCATGGTTACTTCATAAAAGAAAACAAAAAAAAACCTTCCCACCCTCCCAAATATAACCAATTTTATGAACTGATCCCATTCTTTTCTAAACTATACTTTAAAAAAATATATACATATACATGCAGAATGCTCTAAGCCATGAACAACATAAACTGATGAACAAAAACAGATCCAGAGACAGAGAAGCATCGATCAGACTGTGAAACCTCAGAGGGAAGGTAGGGGAGGGTGGGGGAAAGGGGGAGAGATCAACTAAAGGACTTGTATGCAAGCATATAGGCCTAACCATGGACACAGACAACAGGGGGTAACGTGGGGATAAGGACACATATGTAATAACGTAATACAAATTTTTTTTTAAAAAAAGAATGCTCTAAGTCAAGCATGTGAAACTCGTGGCTGGCGACCGGCTGCGAGTTTCACACGCTTGCTCTAAGTAAAATTAAAAAGTAATTCATGCCCTAACCAGTTTGGCTCAGTGGATAGAGCATCGGCCTGCGGACTGAAAGGTCCCAGGTTCGATTCCGGTCAAGGGCATGTACCTTGGTTGCGGGCACATCCCCAGTGGGGGGTGTGCAGGAGGCAGCTGATCCGATGTTTCTAACTCTCTATCCCTTCCTCTCTGTAAAAAATCAATAAAATATATTTTTTTTAAAAAGTAATTCATTGTTTAGCATTTGCATATTCTGAATACTTTGAAAATATAATCTTCATTTTGTCCCTTGAAGCCCTCATTTGTACTGCTTCTTCCATCTATAATATCCTTCCTCCTTACCTTAGACTGCCCACATTATTTAACACTAGATTGCCCAAGGAAGTCATTTTGACTGCTTTTTAATTTCAATTAGAAAAACAATTATGTATATAAGGACACAATGTCTTAGAATTTTGTGACTTTCTGTACAACATATAAATGCGTTTATTAATAATTGTAGTTACCTCCCCCTCCTCCATTTCCGGTATATATATATATGTGTTATACCTATATTGTCCAAAAGCAGTCATTTTGACTGCTTGGGGGGAAATTATGACTCTTATTATTGAATTGAGTAAATTTCTTATATGACCAGTTTGGCTCTGTACTGAAATAACAGTTTTCATTTTTTTTCGATTACCGTCACATGATAACATACAAGTACATGATAAATTGTCGATACTTGATAAGTTGCAGTTGCTCAATAAGCTAAACTAGTACTTGTTATTCGAATCTTTATGCAGTGATACTTGTTCTAATAAGTTGTTTATTTTATTTCTTTTGTGCCCTAAATTCATGAAAGAAATGTCGAATAGAAGTGAGTTATTGGAAAAGCTAAGGAACATAAGTGAAGAGTGCTCCGATATTATTCCTTCACAATGCAGTCATTTTGACTGCTTTTGGGCAATATAGGTATATACTAAATTTCAGTCTTTCTAGTGTTAAGTATAGTAGACAGAGCATGAACTTGACATCAAATTGAATAATTCAAATCTTTATTGCACCACTTCTAATCATATGACTGGAGAAATTGCTTGGATCTGTTTCCTCACATCTAATAATGGTATAATATCAACCTAATTGAAGTGGTAAGGTAAATTTATGAAAATGTCATACAAAGTGCCTAACTTCACGCATATATTCAACAAAATATTAATTCTCTGCCCCTTCCCAACTCTTGGTTCAATTAAAATTTCCTCAATAAACCATTAAACCTTGTTTTTCTTCTGCCTCTTACTACATTGAAAGTATATTCCATGCAATTTAAAATTTACCATACATGATCTCAAACTGCTCACTATTAATGTGCCTGAACTATACATGTCTTACTCAAAAGTAAGCTCCTTGACAGTGAAGAACACATTTTCTTCTTCCTTTGTATTTCCTCTCACACACAGTAGTCTACTGGATATACACTAGGCACTTAACATATGATAATTTACAGGCTAAGAAACTAAGCAAAGTCAGGCAGTGCTATCTTTCACAAAACAGATCCAGAGACACTGAAACATGCAACAGACTGCCATATTTCAGAGGGAAGGGGAGAGGAGGGAAGAGATTAATCAAATAACTTATATGCATAGCCCATGGACAAACAGTGTGGGGAGGGCCTGGGGAAGGGTTGGGTAGGGGACAACTGTAATACTTTCAACAATAAAGATTAAGAAAAATTAAAAAATGAGGGAGACTCATGTATACTGATAATAAATCATTTGCATCCATGTTTATAGATCTCCCTCATTGTTTTAACTAGGTACTGCCACTGTCAATATATTTCAAGGTATATTGTTGAGTAAAATTATTTAAAGGAAAAAAAATTATTTAAAGGCATATAAAGTATGATTTTATTTAGAAATAATTTAGTTTGCCTATATATAAAAAAAGTTTGATTATGTATACCAAACCGATATTAGTAATTATCTCTGGAAATGAAGAAACATTTAATTTCTAGTTTACTAACATTTTTATTGTATATTATTCTTTTTTACTATGAGTATGTATTATTATAATAAATGTGTTTTTTTAAACTGTGTCCACCTATACTTTTCTTACCTTTTCTCATGGAGCAAGGTTATAAGTAAGAAAGTCACGCATACTAGTATCACTTGCAGCAGCAATACTTACTTTTTGGTTGAAAAGGTTTATTGTCATCCATCAAGTTGTAGAGTCACCTAAGCACCAATATATAACAACGATCAATTTTATGAGTCACTTTAACACCAAATATTGAAACATAAAATTGGGATTCAGAAATCTTTGGGTCTGATTTTGATCTCAAACAAACTCACCATGTGACTCCAGACAAGGCAGTAAGTTAGGTCTTAATTTTCTGACCTATAAAATAAACATGCCTACTATTAGGGTGGATTTGTTAAATTAGATGTACACACATTTAATATTTTTCTCCTATGGAAAGCTTACCTTTTGAGTTTGATGTGTTTGATATACACACATGCTACTTACTTTCCATATTTGGTTCATTTCAGAATGAATGCAAATTTAGTAAATAGAATGCTGAATGAACAAAGCATTTATTACTTGAAGAAATTTAATGAATTATTAAATAACAAATAATCTATGAAAGGTACCCTATTATAAAAATGAATAATCACCCTTCAATATGTTTTATTAAATGTGAATTTTGAAATGCTAAGTGACATTAATCTTTAACTGTTACTTGTTCTTTATATCATAAATAAATGTAATTATTATACAAAAGCATGTTCAAATAAAATTTTAGTTTACTTTTTTGTTTCTTATCAATGATGACTAAAAGGAACAGAAAAGTAACTGGATAAATTTCATCATAGATTGATTTAAAAAATTACTCATTGCCTTCTGTGCTCAAGGTAATGTGCTCAGTTCTAGAAAAATAATTAAGATGAATAATCATAGCCTTGCCTTCAAAAGTTTACAAACTTATATGTCTATGATTCTTTAGGCTTTTATAAAAGGTGGTACATTAAACATTATCAAAATTTTTGCTTTCTTTGAAACAGGAATTTGTGTTCAGAATTTTCATGCTCATAACATATTTTACATATAAAACAAACATACTTAAACTATTTCAGTTATAAAATAAAAAAGTAAAAAAAAAATAGACATCAGAAATCTGACTATTAGGATAAACAGCTAATTGAGCCTTCACATTTGTCTTTATCTGCAGACTGCAAAAGCAAGCTTTCCTAGTTTTTCCAATTCCAAATTTAACCTGAACTAGACCAAAGGGGAAATAAACTAATTTAACTCCAGAAGAAGTTACTGCTATAAAAGTTTGAATTACTGATACAAGAATCTCTAGTGATTCAGTACATAAGTAAATTTCCACAATTCTGAGGTTTGACTATTAAATCTCTTCAACTCATTATTTGGATAGTTATCACTTGTCCTGCAACTAGAATTAAGGTAATGCATATGTCAAGTAGATAAATACATGACAATTCTTGCTCAGCATGAAGGACCTACTATAATGCCAAGAATACAGAATATTTTGAAGAATCACAACTGCACAGCCCATGAGACTCATAAAGAACTCTTTTATTAGATGATCATATAAAATATCTATTGACACAAATATCTTAAAATTAGTACTAAATGTACAAATAGTATATATAAACATGTCCTATCTACTGCCTATGATTATGGAGATGGCTTTTGGGGCCCATAGCAGCCACCAAGGAGTCTCAATTAATACATTCACAAACACTCTAAAAAGTCAGAAATACTCAGGTGCCATTTAGAACCACAACTTCAGCCTAAAGCTGTGCTATCCAATAAGATAGCTGAACCTTCCAAAACTATCACCACAAAAAAAACTCTTAAGTCATCACTTCAGAGTTTTGGTTCCAAAGCAAGGAATTCTGTGGGAGATCTGTTAGAGAAATGCAGCAAAATGTGCAGTGAAAAACCTTGGTGCTCCTATAATAGCAACTCCAAAGGGTGTCTAGGTTATGCAACTCAGAGTTGGCATTAAAATAGGCTGAAGAGTAAAAGACCTCTCCATTCCAGCTGTTGACTCAGAGATACTATGCCCATGTTTAGTATACTGTTCCTATGGGGGTGGGGGGGGGATGAAGCTCAAGTAAATGACTTCCAAGTAACTGACAAACAACTCTTGGAACACAACCATTCAGTTTTTGGAGACTGCCTTTAAGTAGTTGCAATTACTATTTAGATAGTTTTTGTTTTCAGATTTAAATATTTAAAATTCAACACTCTTTTAAGAGTTCATTCTACAAAAAAATTCTAAAACAACGGATTAAAATAGTTCAAAAGGTACTATTTTAATCCATGGATTGCATGGAATAGTTCAAAAAGTACATTATGTGTATTTATCACAAGGAAGATACTTAAAAATTTAACGGATACCATTTAGCACCCACTAGGATGGCTGTAATAAAAAAAGACAAGTAATAACAAGCATTGGCAAGGATGTAGAAAAAGGGACACCTCAAACACTGCTGGTGGGAATATGAAATTGTGCAGACACTGGAAAAACACTTTGACAGTTCCTCACAAAATTAAACATAAAGTTACCATATGACTCAGCAGTTCCAATCTTGGCAAGAGAGAATTGAAAACATATGTCCACACAAAAATTTGTACACAAATATTCATAGCAGCATTATTGATAATGACCAAAAAGTGAAAACAATCCAAATGCCAGATTGATGAATAAACAAAATGTGACATACCTATACAATGAAAGAATATTCAGTTATAGAAAGGAAGTACCGATACATACTATGATATGAATAGATCTTGAGAACATTTTAGTAAGTGAAAGAAGCCAGCCAAAAAGACCACATATTGTGATTTCATGTATATGAAATGTCCAGAAATAGCCAAGTCATAAAGACAGAAAGTAGAATAGTGGTTGCTTAGGTCTGAGAGGGCTGGCGGGAGATGGGGTGTGACTCTGAATGGGTATGGGATTTCTTTTGGGGGTGATGAAAATATTCTAGCCTGGCTGGCGTGGCTCAGGGGTTGAGCCTTGACCAGGAGGTTATGGTTCAATTCCTGGTCAGGGCATGTGGGGCATGTGGAGGCAGCCGATCAATGATTCTCTCTCATCATTGATGTTTCTATCTGTCTCTGTCTCTCCCTTCCTCTCTGAAATCAATAAAAAATATATATTTTTTAAAAGTAGTGGCCATCTAAAAAATATTCTAAAATTGATTGTGGTGGTGTTTGCTCAACACTGTGAATATACTAAAACCAATGAATTGTACACTGCAAATGGGCGAATTGTATGTTATATGAATGATCTCAATAAATCTGTTAAAAATAAACACACATCACATCACATCACATCACATCTTCTCTATTCATTTATCTGCCCATAGATGCTTAGATTGTTTCCACGCAATGGTTATTGTAAATAATGCTGCAATAAACATGGGGTGTGTGTGTGGGTATCTTTACAAGTTAATGTTTTTGTTCCCTTCGGATAAATACCCAGAAGTAAAATTACTGGATCCTATCAGTGTTCATGCTTTTGTCTGTATTTACTACTGCATTGTCATCAAGTACTGTAACTTTAATTGATGCTGACTAATAAAAGATCAGTGGGAGAGAGTATTTAAATAACACATTTAGCTATAGAAATGAAGGTAATGAAAAGGTTCAAATAGAACAATCTTGCTATTGTTTAGATAGATATGAATTATAGATATGAAAAACTAAAAAATAGGCAGTGACTTTGTTTCATAAAAATATATTATTCATTCAATGTATTAACATTGATTCAAATAGCATTGCTTTTTTAGTTTTATTTAATTATTTGCTTTTTAATATATGAAAATCTATTACTACTCTGTTTTCACCATCAAAACTTATGATCTTGTTCTTTCCTTCTTGCCTTCGTATAAAGCCAAAAGAGAGACAGTGGCTACTTTGACAACCTTAAAGCAGACTACAGAAATGTCCCCAACAGCATGACCTTTGCAACCAAAGCCAGCGAACAGAACATCATTTTCCTCAATAAATTTCAAACAATCATCATTGGGTACAAAGACTGTGATTTTTTTGGGGGGCCGTATTTGATCAGCTGGACCCTGACACACATCTTAGAGGGGCAAATTTTATCCACTAGGGGAAATGTCAAGTAAAAAGCTGCAGTACAATGATGAGAACACTGGACATGGGCTGAATAAATGAGTGTGAATTTGGAGTCTGCCACTTTCTGGTCGCCAAACCTACAGAATGCTTAATTAACCTCTTTGAGCTTAGTTTTTCTGAAAATGGAAACAGTAATACCTACTGAGAAGATAAAATAAAGCACATGAAAAATTATTGTGCAGTACTTTGCACTAAAAAGAAAACAAATTCTAGTTCATGTAAAGAACTGTTAAAATACTGTCACAAATAAAGAACACCAGACCCTTCAGTTCAAGGGCTGATGCTCTAACCATTAGGAACACCAGCCAGGACTAAACACACATTTTTGATACAAATTACTGAGTAAACCATCTTCTTGAGTCATTATTTAAAACAACCTGCCTATATCCAAATATATTTAAGTCCCTCTTGATGTAGGAAGACAGAAAAAATATTCAGTTATATATTTAATGAATAAGTCATAAATATTTCTGAACTTTCAAGTTACTTTTGAAATGAAAAATATTTTCAATATAAATTTCCAATATCCTATCTGTCATTAAAACTATGGATTTCTTTTTATTTACAAAAAAAAGTTATTCATTTAGGTATCTCCCCTTTTCTATCAGCAACATATTTTTGGATGGCTCTATATGTCCTCTTGAATAAAGAGAACAAATCAGAGAGAAGAGGAGGTACAGAATTATATATTCCTTTCCCCTTACTCATCTCTTCAACTAAAAAAAAAAAAGTTGATGCTGAATAATAAAACACTGGGCTGAAGAAAATGGGATTAGACTAGAAAACTTAACTGAGGAAAATAGGTTGAACAGGGGAAGCTGGAATTTGGAGCCTTTCAATATCAAAACTTTTCTCAATGGACTATTCTCCAACTTTTCAACATGCTTGGAAATAATAACAATATTATTTAAATACTAAAAAGTTGAAAAGATGTGAAGTATTAAAAATAAAAATTCAAAGGAAAGGGGAATTGAAAATATTTCTTTTTTGGAGGGGGGTGAGCCTTCTTGTTTATTCTCTTTAACCACTTCACTGCAATGAAAAGCGGGGCATGATACAGTACATTGAACACTGGTTGAAGAGTTAGAAGATCTAGGTTTAAGAACCAGATATATAAATTCCTACCCATTATGACTTCTGTAAAGTCTTCTACTTGAGGCTGTTTCCTCACCTTCCAAATAGTTCTAGCAATACCTCAAAATGGGTAATAATCCATGAAATACACAAATGCAGAATACTATTATAGTGGAATCTGTACCAATGTTATAACATCAAGGGCATATAACCCTAACTGAATTTCATAAGCAAACCAGTACCTTCATAGGTTCCGTAAAATTTATCCTTAAGGAGACAATTTGAGTTTTCACAGTAACCCCCAAAGTGGGACATCTCACAAATGCTAAGAGAAGACTTTTGTAGTTTAAAGCATTATTTCTTGGTTTCAATTCTATATTTAATGGCACTAAAAGACACTAAAACTCACAGACCAAAACTGAAAACAAAAGGCGAAATTTAAGTCCACACATTAAAAATAAAAACAACGAAAAAATCTTTGCAAACAAAGAGAATCCCTTGAAGATTTCCTGTGCTTGCAGAAGCTGGTACACTTAACATTTTATTCTCATTTCTCCTCATAAAAACTTGAGGTAAGTTCAAAGGAACTCCCTCCGCGTCTAGAGAAGGATAAAAATCTCAGAATGAGATAATTTTTTCCATTAAAGTAAAACCTGCAAAGCTCATTGTTTAAAAAAAAATGTGTCTCTAACTCCACGTTTCTTCCCGGGGCTGTTCTCTAGACAATAACGGAATGGAGCACGATTTCTATGAGGAGGATCGAAGTCCCTTTGGCAAGAACAAGGGTATGAGCACACCACGACCAGTAATCTGGGTGGGGGAAACCTACACGTAAACGATTGGCCCCAGGGCCTCTGAAGCCTGGAAGTTCGGAACCTTCTCTCGTCCCTTTTAGAGACTCAGGGGTAGGCGGGTCTCCTCAGACATCGACATGAAAGGTACAAAAGACCGAAGGGAGTTGTCTCCAGAAAGAAAAGCCAAAACCTGTCTGGGGACCGACAGCCACGCACAGGCCGCAGACGATAAAGAGGCAGTGGCGGCAACCCGCGCGCCCACGGCCTGAGCTGCCCGCCAAACCCCACCGCTGAACAGCTACCTTCCCGAGATCCCTCCCCCGCCGGCGATGGCGCAAGATGGTGGCCCACCCGGCACCGCGCCACCGCGCCACCCCGCGGTCCCCTCCTCCGCGCGCCCTGGACTCGCACCGCATCCAGACCCTCAACCTCTCTTCCTCACCGACTGGCCACCGACGCCGCCCTCAGAGCCAGGCGGTCATCGCCGCGAGCGACAGCCTCCGCCCGCTCCCCTGAGGCGAAGGCGGGGGTGGTGGACACTTACCGCGAGCAGAACAGGTCGGCCAGACTGGGACTCTAAGGAGGAGGAGAAAGGGAAGGAGGAAAAAGGAGGAGCGCGAAAAGACTGGGCGGCGGCTACTGCCACAGCAGCCGCCCCCCCGCCTCTCAGCGCCGAATGAGCTGCCCAGACCGCGGTGGCGGTATATAACTACGCGCGCTGCCTCATGGGTAGACGGCAGCTCCTCCGTCTCCGGGCCCCTAGCTCCTGCCCCTTCTCCGGCCCCCGCTCCTGCTCCCTCTCCAGCCCCCACTCGGGCCCCCGCACATCCGGGCTTCTATGATATTTTACTAAACGATTTGGAGGGTGGGCTCGTACATGTGCACGGCCTTATACAATCTGGAACGCAGCGCCACTTTGACATGCGCGGTGGGCTGCGCGGGTCTCCGGCTGCAGGCAGCGAGCCAGGGCGAGATACTGAACGCTGAGGCCCTCTCCTCCGCGATCCTGCTGTGCAACCCGGGTAGCAGTTCCAAAATTCGGGCTGCCCACAGTATCTAAGCACACGAAAACGTGAATTTTAGATCCTCCCTGTGTGTAAGAGATAGAGACACCATTTAAAAAAAAAATACTATAGCCGACCGGTGAAGACCTACACTTGGTGAGTGAAATGAATAAAAATCAGGTTAATTTCACTGAATTTGTTTCAAACATATGGTTTTGCTTGCACGTTATTCCTGTCATATAGATGTCTATAATAGTCATTAAAATGTTAAGGGCCCTAGCTGGTTTGCTCGGTGGATAGAACGTAAGCCTGCGGACTGAGGGTCCCTGGTGGAGTGCAGGAGGCAGCCGATCAATGAGTCTCTCTCATCACTGATGTTTCTATCTCTCTCCCCCCTCCCTTCCTCTATGAAATCAATAAAAAATATATAAAAATAAATAAAATAAAAGCTGTTGAACAAAATATGAAAAAAATGTTAGGGAAAAAATACGTTTAGGAGAAAAACATTTGCCAAGACACTGCTTGCACGAACGTTTTCTAAGCATTGTGTTTCGAACAGTAAAGAAAATTTCCTTTCTCAATTTACCTCACAAATTCTTGTGGCAATAGTGGCCATTCTTTCAAGAATTAACCCAGACTGAAAACCTTGCCATAATAGTTCCTTAATGCATACGCAAGCCCAGTCAGTCACTGAATCTTGGCAATTCTATTTGAGCTAGTTTCTTCTTTCTTATCCGTACTTTCGTTCGCTACTGACCCTGAAAATAAGCTTTACAAGAAAAGACAGCAAATAACAAAAATTAAAAAAACACGGAAAGTTAAAAATAGCAAAATCTTCCAGCATTTATAGAGACCATCCCCCGCCCGCTCGCGCGCGCGCGCACACACACACACACAGACACACACACTTCAGGGCAGGCGGATAAGAAAGGCCAGAACTTTCTCCTTTGTTGTCACTGGGAAATTGCAAACCTACATCCCATGATGTGGAGCTTTACCTAGGTCCCACCCTCCTAGAGACTACAAAGTCCCAAGGCACTCTCTCTTCCTCTCAGGCCAGTCCAGATCTGCTTAGATCCCTTTCTTTCCCAGGAGCCCTAGACTTACCTCAGATTCTCTCGGTGATAAGAGTGTCAAGAGCCTGCACAAAGCAACTAAAATTAGGAGGGGCGCGAGTAAAATATGCCTCAGTGAGATGACCAGAAAACATTTATAAACCAACCCAAAATTTCAATCCTATTTGTTCTGTTTTAATATGTTTTTGTTGATTTCAGAGGAGAGAGAGACAAAATACCAATGATGAGAGAGAATCATTGATTGGCTGCCTCCTCCACACCCCCTACTGGGGACCGAGCCTTAAACCCAGGCATGTGCCCTGACCAGGAATCCAACTGTGACCTCCTGGTTCTTGGGTCGATGCTCAACCACAGAGCCACACTGGCTGGGCTTCAATTTATTCTCTTTTTTTTCATGAAAAAATATAACAGTCAAGAAGACTCAAAAACTCTGGTCAGCAAATGTTCTCTCAAAAGGAAATGTACCTGAGCTCAGCGGTTAGAGTAGAGGGTTTTGGGTTCAATTTCTGGTCAAGGATATGTACCTGGGTTATAGGTTCAATCCTGGCCATGGTAGGGACGCCTATGGAAGGCAAACAATCTCTCTCTCCCGCCCTCACTCTCTGCCTACCTTCCATTCTCTCTAAAAATTAATGGAAAAAAATCCTTGGGTGAGAGTTAACAAAACAACAACAACAAAGGAAATGTACATGAGAAGCCAAATTATAATAAAAGGGATGCCTGGTGAGAATGGAATTCACACATGGGAAATTGGATGATTTTGACTACTTTATCCTTAAAACTCTTGCTCAAGTTTCCCCTGTTTTGTTTCTCATCCCATCAAAAACAAAGATATCAAGCCCAGCTGGTATTGCTCAGTGATTGAGCATTGATTTATGAACCAGGAGGTCACAGTTCCATTCCTGGTAGGGGCACATGCCCAGGTTGCAGGTTGTGGGCTGGATACCCATTAGGGGGCATGCAGGAGGCAGCCAATCAATGATTCTCTCTCATCATTAGTTTCTATCTCCCTCTCCCTTCCTCTCTGAAATAAATAAAAATAAATTTTAAAACAAAACCACAAAAAAACCTCACATGTCAAGTAGTACATCTGCTAGAGTAACCAAAGTTCCTGGGAATGTATATTTATTCTGAGTGGGCCTTTTAGAGGAATTGCCCCAACAGAACACTTTAGTGAATGGAAGAAATTGAATGCAGGAAAGACAGGAGAGTTAGCTCTAGAAACACTCGGTATATAGTAATAAGTAAAATCATAGCTAAAAAAATTATATAGCATTTATTGTGTACTAAGCACTGTTCTCAGTACTTTTAAATATCAATTATTTCATACAACCTTATCAGGAAAGTACTGTTTTTATCATCTCCATACACAGATGGCACAGATATAGTAAATACTTTGTTTGCTGTCATACAACACAAGTGATAAAGCCAGGATTTGAACCCAGGTATTTTGATTCTGTAATCTTAGCCATGATAGTCTCCTATCTCTTTAAATTTTAGATCTAAATCCTATGTTAAATGAATGAATAAATGTAGAGATAGTATAAGAGACTGGGATCAAAGATTCTTGGGGACATATAAGTTAACAAGGAATATCAAACAATGCTGCCTTCATTTAAAATAAGTGCAATAGGGTACATACTTATCAGAATGAATCTCCCATTAAGAAAAAAATCACTCCTGGCTGAGTTTGGCTCAGTGGATAGAGCGTTGGCCTACAGACTGAAGGGTCCTGGTTTCGATTCCGGTCAAGGGCACATGCCCAGGTTGCACCTCCATCCCCAGTAGATGTGCAGAAGGCAGCCAATCAATGATTCTCTCTCATCATTGTCGTTTCGATCTCTCCCTTCCTCTCTGAAATCAATACAAATATACAGTGGGGCCTTGACTTACGAGTTAATTCGTTCCAAGACCGAGCTCGTTAAGGAGCTCGTTAACTCAAATTACTCTATCAACTCAATGCAAAAAGTGGGCTGAGAGACAGCTGGTATCTCAAAAAACTCGTTAGTCGAGACACTCGTAAGCCAAGGCCCCACTGTATAAAAAAGAAAGAAAAAGTCACTCCTATTATAAATTTTGGTGGAAGTAACACATTCAGTTACCTATGTCTCTAAGATTCTGGTTAAGGCCTTTCTATGTTACTCACATTTGTGAACCACTTTAGCACTAGAGGGCTCTTGAATAAATCTCCAAGATGATTCACCCACATGTATAATTACTATGTAAAGTTTTCACACTCCTCTGGTAACTGTAGGCAGAGATTGACAACACTTCAGAGTTGAAAGTTTTAAATTTTTGTAATCAGTACTTTGCATTATGCTATATTTTAGAGAGGGGAACAAAAAAATACCTTTTTGGTGTATGGGACAACACTCCAACCAACTGAGACACCTGGCCAGGGCACCATTGAAGATTTTGATAGAAAAATGAAGTGCGTATTTTGTGATTTACTTTCATCTCTCTAGACTCAAAATTGAAAAGAGTCTTAGGAGTTAAGACTAGATGCAGGGAGACCAATTAAGATGCATATTATGTGGCTTTAGTGTCTGCTTTATTTCTCTGTACAAAACGTATCCAGGGTTCCTCCATGTGGCAGCCCGTAGTAGTACTTCATTCCCTTTTATGGCTGAATACTAGGGGTGGGCAACCTTTTTGTGAGTGCGTGCCCAAACCAGCAAAATCTCTGACTCAAAATTCTTCTGCGTGCCAACCCTAATTTTTTGAGAACATGTTACGCCTACTTGCTATCTCTTAAGGTGTACGTATGTGAAGGACCTTGAAGAAATAATAAAATTCATTCGAGTGACAAAAACACAGTATATGATGATGAAAAATGCATTTATTTTTTAATGTATACATGTACATTGATAGTCCGGCAGAAAACTTTATGACTCCATTTGATATTATCAGTGGGACTTTTGCTGCTGCATCACTGATGACAGAGATTTAACATCAGGTTTATATTTCGTGACCTTCAGAGATATGCACGAGCTACTACTTTCATCCGTCAGGCTACTCCTATTACGCGACTTAACAAAATTCATCACTGAGAACAAAGATTCACAAGCGTATGTGGATGAAGCCAAAACACTGGTTGGATCTAGGAAGGCAGGGAGCGTTAAGGCAGAGGCATAGAAATTGCTCTTCCCCTCTCTCGTCAATCCATGTCTATGGTCTTTAAGATAACTTGTTATGTAAAATTATTTATTTACCTAAGATGCACCTACACTGAATTTATCTGAAAATAAAAAAGTCGATATTAAGAAAAAGATTGCAAATGGAAGATTATAAGAGAGAATTTCACATGCCAGCAAAAGTTACTGGCGTGCCATGTTTGGCACATGTGCCGGGGGTTGCCCACCCCTGCTGTATGCTATTTTATTTTATGGTTTTACCTTATTTGTTTATCCATTCATTCATTCATGGACATCTGGGTTGTTTCTACTTTTTCCCTATTAAGAATAATGCTGCTATGAACATTTATGGAAAAGTTATTGTGTGAACATGTTTTCAGTCCATTAGGTATATACTTAGGCTTGGAAAGAAACTGTTTGTCCAATCCAGGATCACC